TCATCTGCCCAACATTACTGAGTACCAAACTCATATGTGCCAATTACTTTGCCAAGCACTGGGGATATAATGCTGAGCGAAACCAATTGTAGTTCCTGCCCTTATAGAGCTCACAGTCTAAGGGGAGGAGGAATCTACAAAAAACAGCACACAGGAGAGGTTGTAGTGCTATGAGACAGATAAAAGGAAAAAGTGATTAGTCAGGGAGAGCAAGGGAAGGCCTCCCTAGGGAGGAAATGACCAAGCTGAGATCTGAGAAGAAAAGGATATAACTAAGTCAAAATGAAGAAGGGGCATAGGAATAAGTGTGCCAAATAGAGGGAACATGAGGTACAAAGGCACTATGGTGGGAAATACATGATGCATTCAAGATAGCAGGGAAAGGCCACAGTGGAGACTGGTTGGCTAGCCAGAGCTGGCATGGTATGACACAGGGCTAGCGAGGCAGGCAGAGGGCAGACCACATGGGGCCTCGCGGGACCACTAAGGAGTGTGTTTTCATCATAAGAACATTGGGAAGCCACTGCAACGTGAAACGATGGGTTTGTAAAGACCTTCCAACCGAGGTGTAGAGAACAGATTGGGGGGAAGGGAATGAGTGTAGGAGGATGAAGATGTCAGAGGCCACTGCAGGATCCAGGCAAGAGGTTTCAGGGGCCTGACCTACGATGGTGGCCACAAAGGTGGAGAGAGGCGGGGCTGCCCACCACCATGCACTCACGAAGGGGGCAAAGCTGAGACTCAGAAACCTAGGCCCGTCTGACTTCAAAGTCCACGTTGCTTTCTACCTTGCCATTTATTCATTCATTCAGCAATTTAGCTACTAACCATCTACTATGTGCCAGGCCTATGCCAGGTGCTGGGGACACAGCCACAAGCAAAACAGACACGGCTCTCTCAGGGTGGACAGTCTAGGCATTACAAGAACACAGATGGATATGTATGATTACAAATTGGGATGAGTAGCACGAAGGAACAATAGTCTGATCAGAGATTTTCACAGAAAAACTACCTGGGCGGCCACAAAGATAGATCTTCCTAACTCTTCCTAACGAAACAGCCACTTGCCAGCTATGTGTAAGTGAAAGACTTTGGGAACCTTTCCCTCTCAGAGCTGGGCACTGAGCATCGCCTCTCTGGACAGCGCATAAGCCCTCGGGGAAAGCTGGTATGTCTCAAGCCCTGCACAGACTCTGTTGACAAGGAAGTCTTTCTAAAAGTCTTGCTTATTCCTTAATATACTCACATATCCCAGCTTCAGGCACCCCTCACTTAGTTAGGTGTGTACAGAAGTTTACAATTACTGGGGATCTTTCACACAGACTCATTCATTTGAACCTCACGGCAGCCCCATGTAGAATGCAGGCAGGTTTTAACACACTGCGTGAGAGATGAGGAAATAGAGGCCTAGAAAGGTGAAGGTCGCCAAGCTAGGAAGGCACCCAGATCTGCCACCCAAATCTTACTAGAAGCACCTCGGGCCGGGAAATCATGACTCTCGGATGAGACAGCTGCAGGTCACTGGGCCTGGATAAAGACACCCAGGAGTCCCACGAAGTTCCTGAGAACAATGATCAGGGATATTAAGCAGCTTAGGAAAGGTTTCTAGAATGCAGCTCCTCCAGCCTGAGACACAGGTATCCTTGCCAACTTTCCCAGATTAGAACAGGTTCTCTTGGACTCTTTCCAAGTGCCTCTGACTAACAGAGAAAAGTATTTTTCCATCGCAAACACTGCAGGCAGGCACCAGTCTTCTGAAGGGGGAGGCAGAGACTGCATCCCAGATTCCCATACAGACAAGCTCTAAAGTTATCCTGATAGCATGTGAACTGCCCTAGCTAAGCACCTACCACCAGGGATGTGTGTGAGTCCTGGGCACCATATCTCAGTCTTGGCGAGAATAACATTCAGGGCCAGGTATTTCCTTGTTGTGGGGTGTTGCCCTTGCATTGCAGGATGTTCAGCAGCATCCCTGACCTCTACCAAATAGATGCCAGCAGCACCCCTCAGTTGTGACAACCAACTATGTTTCCAGATATTGCAAACATTCCCTGGGGCACAAAATCGTCTATGGTTGAGAATCATTGGTCTAGGGACCATGGAGATAGGGAAAAGCAGAGTCCGCTTCTCTGTCTGTCATCCTAACCCACTCCATTCCATCCCATCTCACTGGACAGATATATGGCCAGTGTGCATAGATCCTTCTTTTAATCAGGATCACACAACCAATGCCTTCCAGAATTAGACCGAGAGCAGCCCTGTGCTGATGTGGCCTGCCAGCAGGTCCCAAGAGCAATTCACCACTGGAGCTTGTACAACTACAGTCAAGTAACTCCTTGTTCCACTAATGAGCTGCTTCTGACCCTGTGAGCAAATCTTGTTCCCATTAATATGAGCAGCTGAGTCTGATTAAACCAGGAGCCCTGGGTGTTTCTTCTCAATGACACTGGGCCAGAGCAAAAGCTTCTACTGCCACTAGAAGGAGTGCAAAATTGGTGAATCAAAAAGCAGGAGACTCCCATTTACCCAAATTCAATACAAGAGCCAGGACACTCAGACAGACCAGCTTACGACCATTCTTGGACTAAGGGGAAAGTGACAGAGTATACACACAAGAGTACTGAATTAACAAGCTAATTAAACAGCTGAAACATTACCAAAAAATCTTGCTGTCAAGTGGAGGTGGAGATGTGAAGCTGAGCTCCAGAGCAGCTGGGGTGACTCAAACAGTGTTAGGGCCCTGGGTTCCAACCTCCCACCGGGAGGACTGGGCTTTAGCCCAGAAGTGGAAATCAGTATCAGTTACAATGCTACAAAGTTAGCACCCAAGAAGCAGCATCTTTGTGTCTTTCATTGGTCAGCTACATAACTGGCTAAGGGGTTTACTGACAAACTCAACCAAACTCACTGCCATTTGGTAGTAAGTGTATTTCATTGCACCGTAGTTCTTTGAAGACTGACTAACCATGAAACAGCCACCTGTTAACACCCAATTACTCACACTACTGCTACCTTCTATGACACTCCTGCGCGCTGTCTTAGCTCCACTGTTGCGTATCTCCTACCGTAATGTACCAAAGCTGGATAACAGGTCTCTCTCCCTTAATGGACAAGGGGCTCCTTGAGGGCAGGATTTAGATATACTACAAGGTATGGTACATAAACAGATCCTCACCATCGTATGATGGATGGACGGATGGAAGGTAAAGTCTTCCATGTCTATATTCTTAGACTTAGGCCTGTCTACACATTTTATGGAGGGTACAGCCCAGTTCTTTTCTCCTCTGTTTCTCCCACACTCACCACATTGCTCAATAGGTTCCCAATAAACAATAACTGATTTGGTTGGAGTCATGAATGCAAAGAGAACCAGTGATACCAAGGAAAGAGAGATCAGAAATCCTAGCTGTCCACCCTGACTCATATGCATTTGAATATTTACTCTCTTTCAACTAGAAAGTGAAGATACAGAAGTGAACAAGACTAATAATGGTGCCGCCCCTCACAGAGCTCAGTGTCTGGGGTAATAGACAAATATTAACAATTATACAAATAAACAACTACTATGCTTTAAGAAAACTTTGTGTAGGGACACCTGGGTGGCTCAGTCCATTAAACGTCCGACTTTGGCTCAGGTCATGACCTCACGCTTCGTGAGTTCAAGCCCCGTGTCAGGCTCTGTGTTGACAGCTCGGAGCTTGGAGCCTACTTCGGACTCTGCCTCCCTCTCTGTCTGTCCCTCCCCAGCTCACACTGTCTCTCTCTCTCACACACACACAAATAAATGAACATTTAAAAAAATTTAAAAAAAAAAAAAGAAGAAGAAAGAAAGAAGACTTTGTGTAGACAGTCCCAATCTTCAAGCAGTCTAAACCTCTTTGAGAAAAGTCATGATTTTTCCCCTATAGAGCAGCCTCTGAAGTGGTCAGTACAGAAAGTTTATTTTATGCCTTTGTTACACAGGCCTCTGTTCCAAAATGGTCATAAAATTTTTTAAAAGACCAATTAAAAGCATCATCGATATGAACACTCACAAGCGTATGTGTGTTCACATGTGTAGTATGTGGGACTTCCCAAGGATAACTGAAACTCACCCGAGCACCTACAAAAACCAGAAAGCACTGCAGTAACTAACAGTCACTAGGTAGGTATTTGGGAGCCTAGAGATCTGCGTGTAGCTAACAAGCAGGCCAAAGGCAGGCAAAGGGACTCCTGAGAACCCCTGAAGTTCAAGAGACTTTGACATGATAATAGATCTTGAGAATCACAAACTGCCTGTCTGAGAAACCCTACCAAAGTCAGCAGGAGCTGTGGGAAGGCAGGGAAGAAGAGAGGCCACAAAACAACAACCCCAGAGAACAAAATCAGCAATGTGGAGACCACAAAAGGAGAACTGCCCCACAGAGAAGACAAGAAAGAAATGGAGACTCAAGAGAAGATAAAGATGCCAACAGCTGGGTGGCATGGCACCATAAGGGAACAGCTGATGTCCAAACCAAAGGTTTGTTAGGGTTAATGGAAATTTAAATCAAAATATCATGCCAGCCGTAATTCAAAATAATGCTCCTGCCTCAATCTTGAAATACCAATCTTCAAGTTTCTGAAACCTTTAATTTAGACTCAGGTGGAAATGCAAGTAAAGTCATCTCTTCAGCTATGACAAGGCAAAGACTCCCCACCTCCCCAACAACCTGGACAAATTTCTGGGAACGTCTGCTGCAACAGGTTCCTTCTCAAAACCTCAAGGAATTCATGGGACCAGAAAGAGTTCATCTAACCTAGCCTTGCCTTTTTGGGTGCAGCCCTTTGATCCAGAGAGGAAAGGCTCCATATCTGGCTGACCACAGAACTCGATCCCAGATCCTCCCCATCCCAGTCCTTAAAGCTTTTCGTTGTCAAAACCTACCTACTTAGCCCTGAGCATTCATAGCTGTTTAGACAGCTGTCCCCTCCCGCCAAAACTGCTCTCACCAACCACAAATTCTCTGCTGCTCTCTCACCTGTCTGAGCAACCAGGTGTGTCCACCCACTCCAGACAGAAGTGACCTTTTCATTCTGAAAACAATGTGCTTCTATTTTCTGGGGCAGAGGAAGGAAAGCAGCCAAGGAAGCCAGTTGCCCATGCTTGTTGCTTCCCCAAACATACAGCTCTCCTGCATCTTAAACAAACAGAAGGGGAACAAAAGAGGTGAAGGAACATTAGTTCAAAATGATGGAAAATAACACAATCTGAAAAAAGAAAGTGGCTAAAAGAAGTTGTATTATTCTTATGCTACAACGTGGCCTACAGAAAGCAGGATACAAAATTCATGTACGGCATTTTAACGTAGAAGATTGTTTTTAATTCTATAAATAGGAAACGAGGCCAAATGTTCTTCCTAGTCTGTCAAGGAATAGGAACGTATGAGTTTATTTTTTCATTAATTCATTCAGCAAATATTTCTTGAACATCTACCCTAAGAAAAACATGTTTCTCCATTTTCTACATTTTTTTAATGTATGCTTGTATTACCTGTGGCTAGGAAAAATATGTATTAATTTTTTTAAATAACAGGTTAAAAGATACATTATTTAAGCTTAAACTTTTCTGACCTGGGAGAATTTCTCTACACGCCCTGTCTAGCAGAAAACATCATGCTGCTGCCTCCCTTCTGTGCAGCACCATAATTCACTGGAACCTCATAGTCCTCCTGAGGTATAAGCAGCAATGCGACTGACTGACAATGTGAATTAACAGAAAGACAGCAAATTCAGAGTCAAGTGATGCTGGCTTCTATTCCTGGACCTGCTAACTAGCTACTGACCTTGGGCAAATCACTTCCTAAGCCTTAGTTTCACCAGCTGAAAATCAGAGGGGAGGGCGGTTGGCCTAGAAGGGCAGGCAGTGTAATTGATGATATCAGCCACAAGAGAGACTTGTGGGCCACAGTGGCAAGCTAGAGGACACATACTAGTCTACGAGGCATTCACGTTCTAAACCATTTTTAACTGGAAGCCACACCAAATGGAGCCATAAACTACAAAATTTGGCCTAAGAACCTATACTTTATGACTCTTTGAATGGTCTCTAAGAGCTTTTGCAACCAAACCTAACATTCTAAGTTTCTACACTCTACTCTATAGCACACAGCACGCACATGTAGCTACTGAACACATGAAATGTGGACAGTCCAAATTGAGAAGTGTTGTAAAACCAAAAAAGTACAACAAATTACGAAGGCTTAGCACACAAAAAAAGGGGGGGTGGTGCCTGGGTGGCTCAGTGGGTTAAGCACTCGACTCTTGATTTCAGCTCAGGTTATGATCTCACAGTTTGTGAGATCGAGCCCTGCATCAAGCTCCGCACTGATAGTGCAGAGCCTACTTGGGATTTGCTCTCTGCCTCTCTCTCTGCCCCTCCTCCACACCCTCTCTCTCATGCACGCTCTCCCTCTCCCTCTCAAAATAAATAAATAAACATTGGAAAAAAAAAAAAAAAGAATGTAGCTCCTTAATAAAATTCATATTGATTACTGGTTTAAACAATATTGTGGATATACTGGGCCACATAAAATATATTATTAAAATTAATTTACCTGCTTTTTACTTTTTGAAATGGCGCACACATTATATTTTCTATTAGATAGCATTCTTCTAGAAGATAAATTAAGCAAGGGTTGGAGATGTTAAATGACTTTCAAGATCACATGGCTAATAACGAGTCAAGTGGAAGCGGAAACCAAGCCCTCTGTTTCCACTGCATTTTGTGACCTTCCAAAAAAGTTTTCCAGTGCTGCTTGCCATAGGGCAGTCTGGTAGAAAGCCAAACAGTATTAACAAAAAAGACATCAGACCAAGATTCGGGGCTCAAGTTCCAGAGCCACTATTCAATCTTTTTTTTTTTTTTAATTTATATATTTTGAGAGAGAGAGAAAGAGAGAGAACGAGAGAATGAGTGTGTGCAGAGTCCAATGTAGGGCTTGAACCCACGAACTGTGAGATCATGACCTCAGCTGAAAACCAAGACGTTTAAACTGACTGAGCCACCCAGACGCCCCTCAATAGCTCTTTGATACTGGGTGCATCATTTCACTTTCTGGGCCTGTTTCATCAGGTCTAAAATGAGGGAGTGTAAACCAGTGGAGCCATTTTATCACCCAGATGACCTTGCAGCACTGACATTCTGTAGTTCTACGATGTGAATCTGGTCTATTTCATACCCTGAGAGAGGGCAACCTCCAGAGTGTACAAAGTATGAAGATCCCTTATGAGGACCCCCTCAGCCAGTCTCAACCCATTTAATGGACTGGTTAGCTAACAAGATGCCACTCATAGTGCGCCTGTGTCTGTAATAAGCCTTCATTTATCTTAGTAAGTCTAAACCAGCTTTTTTGCAAAGACAAACTGTCTTCCACATGCGGATCATTACACTGTTGCATCAGCAGGCAAAATTAAATTCTCCTGCAATGCCAAATAATTATATAATCCACCACAACTCCAGAGAAAAGGTCTAAAGAGCAATGAGCAAAATCCAGTGTGTGGCAGCTCGAACTAGACCAGGAGAAAGGGATATTAATCTTGATCATTTTTAACCCACTTTTAAAGTATCAAAAACCAATTTCCTTTCTGAATGTACTAAAAATCACTAAATTATACACTTTAAAGAGACAAATTTTATGTATGAATTACATCTTTTTTTTTTTCTTTTTATGAAATTTATTGTCAAATTGGTTTCCATACAACACCCAGTGCTCATCCCAAAAGGTGCCCTCCTCAATACCCATCACCCACCCTCTCCTCCCTCCCACCCCCCATCAACCCTCAGTTTGCTCTCAGTTCTCAACAGTCTCTTATGCTTTGGCTCTCTCCCACTCCAACCTCTTTTTTTTTTTTTTTTTCCTTCCCCTCCCCCATGGGTTCCTGTTAAGTTTCTCAGGATCCACATAAGAGTGAAACCATATGGTATCTGTCTTTCTCTGTATGGCTTATTTCACTTAGCATCACACATCTTAATAAAATAAAAATTCAACATCCGTTTTAAAAACACAATAAAAGTGTTCCACAAATGAAATAATAAATAATTTCACTAATCATAAGATTTTCTAAGAAACTTTTAGCAAGCAATTAGAGAATCTCTAAGTTTACATAATACTTGCCATCAAATTAATCAGGACAGATTAGAAACATCTCTTAGTATACTCTTATTCTCAGAAAAGAATGCCTTGCTGGGGCGTCTGGGTGACTCAGTCAGTGAAGTGTCCGACTCTTGATTTTAGCTCAGGTCATGATCTCTCAGTTCATGGGATAGAGTCCCACATTGGGCTACACACTGATAGTGTGGAGCCTGCTTGGGATTCTCTCTCTCTGTCCCTACCCTGCTTATGCCATCTCTCTCTCAAAATAAATAAATAAACATTAAAAAAAAAGAAAAGAAAAGAATGCCTTCCTCAACCCTCACTGACTATAGGGCATGAACTAGTCACTTCTCACCCTGGGGCCTGCAGCCCTTCCTCTATAGAAGGAGAGGTGGGGCCAGATGCCCAGGGGAGTCCTTTATAGTTGGCATTCACTTCAACTCAACACTTGCAACATATATGTAAGTCTACCTAATATGAGACATAGGCTAAAAGTAGATTTTTCTTTTGTTGGTTGGTTATTTTGAATTTGTTAAATCACCAGTTATCTGTAGTTTAGAATGTATAATGTATTTAAACTCTCACACTATGGTTCTTGTATTTTGGAAACAGTAGCAGCTTCTCAGTTGGACTGCATTACAAATTTGATGTTGAAGAACGCACGTCACTGTTAATTTACACGTACTGTGTACACACCTTAATTTCCACATAAAACACTGAAAATACTAAGTGTGAAAGTCATTCCCCTTTGCTTAAAAAATGCCCTGCATTCAGCTCCATGTGAGAAGTCTTATCAAAATAAATCTCTCAGACCTCTTGTCTCAGTCTACTGGTAGGGATCAAGGCAATCTTGGCTTTGAAAAAAAACCTTTGGAAGAGGTCACCTTCACTTCCAAGAATATGTTGCATCGCCAATGGGAAGTTTGTACTGTATTGGTGGGGGGGTGTCAAATGGATGAAAGGATGCATAGTCAAAAAGAGAGATATAGTGTGAGAGAGTAAAACAGATTAGACAGAGATGGAGGGATCAAAGAGACGAAACAGACTAGAAATACATAAAAATACAAAATAGGTTAGAAAAATACATAAAAATACAAATAAATTAGAGAATTATGTGCATAACTCGATTTACAAAGATATACAGACACATAGATTAGATAGAAAGATACAAAGATGAAAGGTAAATAAAAATGGAGACAAGTAGATAAATAAAGAATAGATGAATACAGACAGAGCAGACAGGTAGATAAATAGACGAGAAGATAGAGGTGGATAAAACAGGTTAATCTGAGAGCAAACATCTAGAGAAAATACACAGTTGAATTAGACACCAAAATGGATCTGATGGATAAGATAACAATGTGATATATAAACTAACTATTGGCTGTGTGATTTGGCAATCACAATTACCCTCAGAGGAAGATATTATCCCTACTGTACAGTTGAGAGGAAAGGAAGTGAGCTGGTATTTCCTTCATGTATTTTCACCTTTACTTCTCACAACTATCCAGAGTACTTTGATAGATAAGACAACAGTCTCCGAAGGTAAAGAAACTTCCTAAGATAAGACCAGGGGTGGCAGCAGAATTCTGACTCAGCTCTTCCCTCCGTGTCCAACATCCACCACGCGAGGCAGAAATGGTGCAGAACTCTGAATGGCATGTTAGACTAAAAGAGCTGGTACCAACCCGTCAACGAAGCTGAGTGATCTGAGCCAGCAAGAACACAGGTTGCCTTAGAATTCTCCAGGCCTACAAAAAAAAAAAAAAAACATCTTTTGAAATCACATTCACAACAGAACAAACTGGGCAGAGAAGGAGCTCAGGCAGCACCACCAGGGCCCGGGAGAAACTTGCAGCCAGAGCAGGCTGGTCTAAGTTGGTGGCGCTGACCAAGAACACGAACGATATGGTGGGGAGACTAGTTACCTACCAAGGGACTGGACAAATAAGTTAGTGTACTGGAGATAAAGAAGCCAGATTTCTCACTAGCAGAGACAAGAGGAAAGGTACAGACATAAAAAGGTGGAAGGCTAGAATCGACCATGGGATAGTGGATTGTCTTAGAGAAATCATTGTAAACCATCATAGCTCCTGGTAGAAGCAGACAAATAGACACGGGTGTACATATGTGTAAATATGTGTGTGCACATGTCTATCTCCTAGCTCTGTCCATCAGCAGGCCTAGAAGCAACAAGATCTCATACATTCAGCTGCCATCACATGCAGGCAAACCCAAAACTCCAAAGAACACACAGGCAGAACTAAGAATTTGAACCTGCTTTCCAAATCCAGCACTTTTTCTCCCTTAATTATACTGTCTTCACTGACAAGTTATAATCCCAACCAACTCTGCTAGAAACTGTGGTCACTGGGTCTAACATGCAGAGAAATACAGTCTATTCTGCAACTCTTTTCTGACACTTTTTACGTTTATTTATTTTTGAGAGAGAGACAGACAAAGCACGAGCGGGGAGGGGCAGAAAGAGAGGGAGACACAGAATCTGAAGCAGGCTCCAGGCTCTGAGCTGTCAGCACAGAGCCTGGCACGGGCCTCAAACTCACGAGCCGTGAGATCATGACCTGAGCTGAAGTCGGATGTTTAACCAACTGAGCCACCCAAGGTGCCCCAGTCTTTTCTGACACTTTGTTTAATTAACTACTGTCTTAATAAAATGCCCTTCACACCTTCAAGTACCCTATAGAATGAGAAAGGGACAAAACAGGTGTTTCCAACACATTCATCAGAGAGGAAGCAAGAGGCCTTGTGGTCAGGCAAGGAAAGGACACCCAGGGCTGCAGCTCCAGAAGCAGTGGCAAGTAAGTAAAGATGGAGGAATAAAAAGGGAAAGACTGAGGGCAGGAAGTTCACGATCTATTCTAACGTCTCATCATAAAACTCCCCCAATCAACTTGGAACGTAAGCTGTGCCCTAATCAGAACCCAAACAAGTCATTTAAATCAAATAAAAGCATTTCTGATTTCTTCCAGTTACAAGTCCTATGCTGAAAGAGAAAGCAGACACAGTTCCTACCCTGAAAAAGCTCAGTCTTTGGCATGTGGGAAAACATATAAACAATTCATAATAATGCAGTACACTGTGCTATCCAGGCATGTGAAGAAAATGCAATGGTGTCTAAAGAGGGAAGACTCTTCACTGAGAAAGCTGTATCTGAGCTATGCTTTGAAAAATGATCACAACAGAATAAAGATTACCAGAAGGAACAGGAAGGAAAAGACATTTCAGACAGGGTTAACAGCTTACCCATAGACACAGAGGAATGAGAAAACAGGAAATGCCCAGGGAGCAGTGAATACCTAGATGAGGCAGGAAAAAATGTCTGGGAAGTATGAGTTTATTTTATGAATGCTTTCAAGGTCATGCGAGTTGGACTGCCTATCTAGCACTCAGTGCCCCCTTCTCCTTCTCTAAGAGTACCCTCCCCAACTCCACCACTGGGCTTCAGGGTGACCAATCTCACTGCCCGCTGAACAGGAGAGACTCCAGGACTTAGGAAAATCAGAACGACCCCAACACCTTGTGCATCACTCCCACCATGGCTTTCCCTTCCCTTCTTTCCCCACTTCCTATCCCACCCTCAAAAATTCCTCCTTTGCTCTCACCTAGAGGAGAGTAGAGGTTTCCTGTGCAAGTTTTTCCTACAGCCAACACTCAGAAGACTGGGCCACAAAGTAAGAGAGCAAGAAAGGAAGAAGAGGAGATACAGACATGGTGCTATATACAGAGAAAGAGAGGGGCCCACAGTGAAGAGCACAGAGCAGAGGGAGAGGTGAGCAGAGAGAGAAGCCGAAAGAGGCTGGGCCCCAGAGTGAAACCCCAGAGTGAAAAACAGGAGAGAAAGCCTACAGGCTAAATGACCAACACAGACACACCAACAGACCCATGGGCATAGTGCTCACTACCTACTCATGTGCCCATGTACAGAGATTTCCCTAGAGTAACACTCCTGGCCCCTCTCTCTACCTCCTCACTCACTCCTGCTCTCCTTTTGGGAAAGAGGAACTGGGCATGTGAGGCACAGTCCTTCTAGGTTCTCCCTTTGGGATGTGCCTACCTGCAGAGAGGGTGCCTCCTCATGTGCTCCCAGCCATGCAGTGAGCTTAGCGGGGCTGACGCCATGCAGCTGCCACAGTGCCTGGTGAGTAAATCCAATCTGGGATTCAGAATCTAGAGGCTCACTATTGCTACACATTATCTCCAAACACCTAAGTCATGTCTTCCAACCTAACTATTAACAGTTCTAGTGCTACTATTCTGGTCTCCACTTAACTGACTCGCATCTATCTCTCAACGGGCTGCAAACTCTGGCATCGAGGAAGGGTACTTTTACTGGGTTCGCAAAAAGTCTAACAAGACTAACAGACCAGCCAACACAGAGACTTAAGACAGAGGAACTAAGAAACAGCAAAAGCAAGATTCCATTTACCCATTTCCTGCCTGTGTGTGTCACTATTTCTTGACAAAGAATAAATATAGGACTCAAGAAATAAGGGCCTTACCTGTCACTCTGCTTGGCTCCTTTGCTGTCAAAAACAATGGGAGAGTCTGCCCAGGGCATAACCGCCGTCCAGATGATGCCAAACCAGTTCCCCACTGGAACACAATGCCACTTGCTTCCCAATGGAACAGAGGAGGAAATGAAGAAAATGCTTAATGGGATTACTACCAGATTGTTTTTTGAGCCTCGCTGTCATGGGAGATTCTCAATTCATTCTCGTTAACACGCCTACTAGGGACAGGCTCAGGGCTTCGAGGGGCCCTATGGCTTGGTTATCACCAAGTCAATCACAAGTCCAATCTTCAGGGCAATTTAAGACCATTCAAGAAAATTCCCACATACTAAAACTCCCTCCAAAAAATTCCAGGACATATGGCTCTTTCAGAGTCAAATTACTAGAACAACACCTTATTCATGACTAACCTGAAAGGACAACTCAAACTCCAGACCAAGCAGGAAAGAACCCTGATGATTATCAAGTCCATTCCTCACATTTAATAGGTGAGAAAATTGAGGTCTGGAAGAGAGGATGTGATCTGCCCACGGTCATCCTTGGGAGCTAGTAGCAGAGAAAATACTAGGACTCAGCTCTCCTAACACCTAATGCAGTGCCTTTTCCACTACACCAAGATAAATTCAATGACTCCTAATTACCAAATAAATACATATTTATGACTGCAAGATAGCTTCTTAATAGTCATTACTTCAGTGGAATGGTCTTTTATTTCCCTATCCACTGAATCTAATTCATGTGCCCATGTTCTGAACCTCATACAAATGTGTAGATGACATTTTATATATTTAATCTACAGTCAGATGTGTGTAACTAGGATCCGTCACCCAACAGCACATTAAGGTTCCACTCCTCTCAACGTATCCTACAAACAACAGTCCTTTAGGCTGTAAACAGACAAGTCTGCTTTGTGAAACATAAGTGATGATGACTGAGAACAATGTGAGCAAAACACAATACTCAAATAATACAGGGGCACCTGGGTGGCTCAGTCAGTTAATCATCTGACTTCAGCTCAGGTCATGATCTCACAGTTCTTGGGTTTGAGCTCCACATCGGGCTCTGTGCTGACAGCTCAGAGCCTGGAGCCAGCTTTGCATTCTGGGTCTCCTTCTCTTTCTGCCCCTCCCCCACTCACACTCTGTCTCTCTCCTCAAAATAAATAAACATTAAAAAAAAACACAATTGTTGAATACAAAATTTACCATCTCTTCCACAAATAAATTGCAAAAGGGTAAAAAAGGGAGCAAAATGAATCTTGAGACATCTGATACAGGATTAATAATCAGAATATATACAGAACTCTTAAAACTCAACAACAACAGGGGCACCTGGGTGGCTTAGTCCGTTAAGCGTCTGACTCTTGAGCTCAGCTCAGGTCTTGATCTCAGGTCATGAGTTCAAGCCCTGCATTGGGCTCCACACTGGGCATGAAGCCTACTTTAAAAAAAAAAAAAAAAAAAAAAACCCTCAACAACAAAAACCTGATTCCAAAAATGAGCAAAGGACTCGAATAGACATTTCTCCAAAGAAAATATACAAATGGTGAAATGCAGATATGAAAAGATGCTCAACATCACTCATTATAAGAGAAATGCAAAACAAAACCACAATGAGGTACCATTTCACAGTCATTAGGATGACTACTATTTAAAAAAAAAAAAACAACAAAGTAACAAATGTTGGCAAGGATGTGAAGTTATTTGGAACCCTTGTGCGCTACTGGCAGAAATTAAAATGGTATGGCCATTGTGGAAAAGGGTATGGCAGTTCCTCAAAAAAATGAAAATAGAATTACTATATGATCCAGCAATTCTACTTCTGGGTATATATCCTAAAGAACCAAAAGCAGGATCTCAACGTGATATTTGTACACCCACATTCATAGCGGCAGTATTCACAATAGCTAAAACATGGCAGCCACACAAGCGTCTGTCAACCGGTGAATGGATAAGCAAAATGTGACATATCCAAGTAATGGAATATTATTCAGCCTTAAAAAGGGAGAAAATTCTGACACATGCTACAAAATAGACAGACCTCGAGGACATTATGCTAAGTGAAATGAGCCACAAAAAGACAAATACTATACAATTCCACTTATGTGAGGTACCTGTATGAGTGGTCAAAATCACAGGGTCAGAAAGTAGAATGGTGGTTGCCAGGGGCTGGGGGAAAGGGGGGATGGAGAGTTATTGTTTAGTGGATATCATTTCAGTTTCACAAGATAAAAAAAGTTCTGGAGATACACGGTGGTAACGGCTGCACAGTAACGTGAATGTACTTAACATCACTCAACCGTACATTTAAAATGGCTAAGACAGTAAATTGTGTTATGTATATTTTATCATAATAAAAAAATTAAGAGGAATAAATATATATTTTTTAAAGTAGAGATACTTGACATACATATCCACCAACTGCAGTGTAGAGACATAATTCAAACCCTGATTTAAACAAACTGTTAAGAAATATATTTTTGAGACAGTCAAGAAAATGTAAACGCTGGATACTTGATCAAATTACAGATTTATTGTTAGTTTTCTTGTAGGTATGATGATGGCATTTTGTTAATGTTTTCGATAGAGTCCTTATCATTTAGAGATGCCTGCAGAAGTATTTACAGATTAAATGGGAGAGGAGGACTTACAATTAAGTTAATCAAACACATAATGGAAACCGTACTGCTTTGTAACTGGACAGAAATGTATACATAAGACTAGCAATCACAGAAAGTTGGTAGGAAAGGGGGAATTAAACCATTAATAGGCCATTCTCCAGTCCCACTAATCTAAGAGGAGAAGCTGCTTATAAGATGTAATCACTACCATACAACTCAGCAATCACACTCCTGGGCATTTATCCAGAGAAATGAAAATTTATGTTTGCATAAAAACTTGCCCACAATGTTTATAACTTTATACTTAATAGCCAGAACCTAGAAACAACCAGATGTCCCTCAGTGGGTGAATGGTGAAAGAAACTGTGTTGTTGTGGACTGAGTTGTGCCCCCAAAAATTCATATGTTGAGGCCCTAATCTACAGTGTGACTGTATTTGGAGCAGTCCGTAAGAAGGTAATAAAGGTTAAATGGGTCATAAGAGTGAGGCCTTAATCTGACAGAACTGGTGTCTTTATAAAAAAGAAGAGACACCAGATGTCTCCCTCTCTGCATGAGCGCACAGAGGAAATGCCCTGCAAGGACATAGCAAGAAGGCAGCCATCTACAAGTCAGGAAGAGAGGCCTCACCAGAGACCAACCCTCATGGCATCTGGATCGCAGACTTGTAGCCTCTGTAACTGTGAGAAAATTCCTGTTGTTTAAGCCACCCAGTCTGTGGTATATCGTTATGGCAGCCTGAGATGACTAATTCAGTGGTACATCTATAACATAGAATACTACTACTTAGCAATAAAAAGGAACAAATTATTGATACTCACAACTTGGATGACTCTCCAGGGAATCATGCTGAGCAAAAATAGCCAACCCTAAAGAATTATATATCGTATGATATCATTTATATAATGTTCTTGCCAGGAGCTAAGAAGGGGTGAGGGTAAGTAGAAAGTGGATGTATAATAGATGCATAAAAGTGTATAAAAGCCATATAAAAGGGTGTATAAAAATGGGTATTATAAAAGGGCCACAGGCAGGATGGCTGTGGCAATGAACTGTTTGTGTCCTGACCGTATCAAGGCTGGCTGGGCTGTTGCACTACAGTTTCACAAAATGTTACCAGTGGGAGAAACTGGGAAAACAGTGCATGAGATGTATTTTATTTCTTACAACTGCATGTAAATCGACAAATATCTCAAAATAATAGGGTTAAGAAAAATTTTACTATATGAGCAACATTAAGCCCCAGGCGACACCAGTACAGTGCTGCACCAGACTCTTCCTCCCCTCCTCCACCTTCCCCAGGCCACGACTGGATGCATCCACACTTGAGCCTCAGCTGCCACAGCCAGTTAGGGCTGCACTTCACCCCGCGAGAGTGGGAGCAGAAAAATGAGCCTGGGGAAGAAAAAAGGGCCACTGCTCTTCTGCAGATGACCACCTCTCTCCACTTGCCACCTTCAAACCTCACACACACTGTCAGCCCTACGTCCATCACCACCCTCTCACAGTACAGGAGACAAGCTCATTTGAAGCTTTTAAACTAATAAACATTAAAATGCACTAGGCAAGCAGTGGAGTTCACAGCAAAGAATGGGGGCCTTGGAAACTACACCACCTCAGACTCTGTTCCCAGCTCTACCTTTTACTACCTTACCCCCTGTGTAACCTTAGACAAGCCCTTCAGCCTCTTCGGACCTCAGTTTCCTCACATGTAAAAATGTAACTCACATCACTGCAGGGTTGTGAGGATTAAATAAGGTATTAATTAAATCAAGAGAACCTAGCATCATGCCTAGAACATAATAAAGAGCTAGAAAACTTCATTTCTTTCCACCCTACCTGCTAAAGATTTCCCACATGACTTTGACCTTATGTCCTCTCCATTTAATCAGAAATGCAGCACAGCAGGACATTCTGAATTACTCCTTAAAGTTTGTTTGCTCTAAAGCGCTGCTTCTCCTAGTGATATCCCTATTTTGAAAATAAAAGCAAAATGATCACCTGTAGCAGCTAAAGCATGCCTCAGTCCAGCAGCAATGCAAACAACCTTCTCTTTCAGGAGCTGTGAAAACAAAGAAAAGGGCTGAGGTCTTAGAATCACCCATCTGCAAAATGCTTTGGAATTTATGCCATGACACAATGCAGCACAGCCCTCATTACATGTCTGATTGGTTTAGAGTCCCCAACTCCCAACATTTCCATCCCTCCATACTTCTGTATGTATCCCTAAAAGGAAAAATCTCTTAAAAATAATATATCACAATGTGTCTCAGGGCCGCAAGGGACCTTCAAAGTCATCCAGTCCAGGAGTTGGCAACTGTTTCCAATAAAGACCAGATAGTAAATACTTTAGACTTTGCAGGCCATATGGTTTATGTCATAGTACTCTACTCTGCCATTGTAGCATACAAGCAGCCACAGACAATACATGAATGAATGGGCATGGCTACGTTCCAATGAAGATTTATTTACCAAGGGTTCTAGCTGGACGACCTTTGATTTAGTCCAATCTCTATTCAATGCCAGATACCTTCCACAACCCCCCACAAATCATCATCCAACCCCTGCCAAGCACCTACTTCCTGTGGCACAGCCTCACTACTTCCCCAGGTGCCTATTCCATCTTTGTGCAGTTCCATTTATCTCCTTAGGTGGAGCCAAACATCTGCCTACAGCTTTTCACAATGCTTTCCAAAGACGAAGACCACTGTCATGTCCTCTCTAAGATATCTTGTGGTGACTTTATTTATTTTTTTTAACGTTTATTTATTTTTGGGACAGAGAGAAACAGAGCATGAACAGGGGAGGGTCAGAGAGAGAGGGAGACACAGAATCGGAAACAGGCTCCAGGCTCCGAGCCATCAGCCCAGAGCCTGACGCGGGGCTCGAACTCACGGACCGCGAGATCGTGACCTGGCTGAAGTCGGATGCTTAACCGACTGCGCCACCCAGGCGCCCCACTTGTGGTGACTTTAAAACTAAGTCTTCAAATTCTTTGAGACCCACCCCTTCAAGATGTGGAGCTGGAGCTTAATTCCCCTCTTGCTGAATGTGGTCTGGACTAAGCAACTTGCTTCCAGTGAAAAGAATAAAGAAGTGATGAGTGGCTTAGAGACTAGGTGATAAAAGGCACTGAGGCTTCCTGCTTGGCCTCACTCTCAAATCACTCCTGGAGGAAGCCAGATGCCATGTCTGAACAACCCCATAGAAATGCACTGAACCTCATGAGTTGCAACCTCATGAGACCAGCTAAGCTGTGCCCAGATTTCTGACCCTCAGAAACTAAGATAGTAAATACCTGTTGTTTAAAGTTGCTAAATTTAGAGTAATTTATGACACTGTAGATAACTAATACATATATATCTCTTCTTTTGGCCAAACATCCCCAATTCCATCAGTGATCCCCTGGTTTCAAATTCCATTCCCTTCTTGGTTTCTCTCCTCTAAATGTGCTCTGGTTACTCAATCTCCCTCTTTTATTATTTTTTTTTTAATTTTTTTTTAACGTTTATTTATTTTTGAGACAGAGAGAGACAGAGCATGAACAGGGGAGGGGCAGAGAGAGAGGGAGACACAGAATCTGAAACAGGCTCCAGGCTCTGAGCGGTCAGCACAGAGCCCGACGCGGGGCTCGAACTCACAGATCGCGAGATCGTGACCTGAGCTGAAGTCGGCCGCTTAACCGACTGAGCCACCCAGGCGCCCCGCAATCTCCCTCTTTTAAAAGAGACTGTATAGGAGCACCTGTGTGGCTCAGTCAGTTAAGCGTCCAACTCTTGACTTTGGCTCAGGTCATGATCTCATGGTCATGAGATCGAGCCCCATGTCAGGCTCCATACTGGGCATGGAGCTTGCTTAAGACTCTCTCTCTCCCTGCCCCTCCCCTGGGCATGCGTGCGTGTGCACGCTCCCTCTCTCTCTTTTTCTGTCAAAAAAAAGCGGGGCGGGCGGGGCCGCGGTTGTATATGCATCAATCATGGCCCCTCTGCAGCTTTACTACATGTGTTTATTTACAGATCCACATGGCCTTCCTAAACTTTAGGACCCTCGATGGCAGGATCTACGTCTTATTCACCTTTATGCCCAGGACCTAAGCACTAAATCAACAGAATACAACATCCCATATGCAGTCTGATTAGCACAAAAAAGGACAGGACTCTGGCTTCCCTTCTTTTAGAGACTATATTTCTGTTAATACAACCCACAACCAAATTAGCTTTGGGGAAGATCAAATCTTACTACTAACACAACTTGAACATATTGTCCTTTAAGTATTTTCTCTTTAAAACAACAACAACTAAAGGGCTTTACATGTAGATTCAATCTCCTCAATTTCTTCAACTCACCTCCATTCCTTCCTCTCCATCCCCACTGCCATGGCTTTAGTTTGGACCAGGATCACCTCTTGTCTGGATTATTAGCAAGAGTGTCCTGAATAATCTTCCTCCTCACTACCCCTTCGGGCCCCGACCTAACACACTGTTCTTACCGTTTGCCATGCACCACCTCCCTGACTGTCCCCTCCCCAATAGAATTTCTACCACTTCCTTATATTCCAGTCATACTAAACTGCTTGCAGTATCTCAAACCCTGATATTTCATGCTTCTACACCCTTGCTTACACAGTTCCTTCTGTCTGGAATGCTCTTCTTTTGTATCCATTCTATGCATCCTATCTCAAGTCAAGTAAATTTCTACTCAACTTTCAAGACTCTGTATAAGCCTGTTCTCACTCCACCTCCCCCTAGAAAGACTTAAAATATTCCCTCCTTTGAGGCTACACCTGCATCTACCATAGTTTAACATTTAGGTGTCTCTATATCTAATATGTACCACTAAATTCTAAGACCTCAAATACTAAGACCCTCACCTTTGTCCCCACTGCCTAAACCCAGCACCTACATACCCAATAGTTGCTATTAAATAAATGAATGAATTTCTACTATATTTCACTTTGCCACATTCCTCCCATTGTTCAAGAGGATACAGCCTTGATGTATCCCAAATGTTTTTACCTCCTGATTCTGTCATCCAACATATTTTAACCATTGTTTTCCTCTGTCTTCTTTAATCATGTGACCCAAGCTAAATTAATTACAATGTATATAGGTTCTTAAAAAAACCATCCATTTGTAATTGGCAACTGTAACACTTCCTACAAGTGACTATAGAGTCTAGATTTCTGTGCATATCATGTGCTACATACTCAATGTTTCCGTGCCCCTGAAATTCATATATTGAAACCTATTACCCAATGTGATAGTATTTGCAAATGGGGTCTTCTTGAAGTTATTAATTAGGTCATGAGAATGGAGCCGTCATGAGACTGGAGCCCTCATGAATGGGATAAATGCCCTTATAAGAAAGGCCCCAGAGGGCAACTCTGTCCAGCGAAATAAGTGTTTATGAACAAGGAACGGGGTCCTCACTAGACACCAAATCTGCCGATACCCCAATCTTGTACTTCTCAGCCTCCAGAAATGTGAAAAATAAATGTTTGTTGCTTAAGCCATTCAATCTATGGTATTTTTGTTACAGCAGCCCAAACACACTACAACACTGTGGAGATCATGACCTCAAATACTATCCCACAGACCAGCAATTGTAATTCAGCAACATGACAGGAGCTGACCAAGCTCTCTCCAGTGAAAACAGATCTCCCACTCTGAGTCAGAGTTCAAGAAAATTAGCTAGACGTGAGCAGCTTAGGTGGTGAACTCATTTTAGATCCCAGCATATTTCTTTCAAAATTCCACAGCCCTCTTATGACTACTTATCATATAAATGTCACAAAAATGTGTACATTTTAAACATGATGCAGAGGAAAGGGCTCTGAACTAGGGCCAGGAGTCCTGTCTAGTCCTGTGCTGTCCACTATGAAGCCACTAGCTACATGCAGGTACTAAAGAGCCGAAATGTGAGTAGGTATGAACTGAGATCACTCACAGTACAACATGCACACCAGAGTTCAACTTAGTATAAAGTAGATAATATAGGGGCGTCTGGGTGGCTCAGTTGGTTGAGCGTCCAACTCTTGATCTCAGCTCCGATCATGTTCTCACAGGTCATGGAATCAAGCCTGCATCAGGTTCCATGCGGATAGGAGAGTGCATGCTTAAGATTCTCCCTCTCTTTCTGCCGCTCTCCCACTAGCATGTACACATACACACTCTCTCTCTCAAAATAAATAATCTTAAAAAAAATGGAGAATATAAAGTATCTCATTAGGAAATTTTTACATTAGTGACATATAAAATGAAATAATCCATTGAATACACTGGATTTATTAAAATTAATTTCACCTACACGCCACAATATGAATGAAACTTGAAACATCATGTGAAATGAGAGAAGCCAGATACAAAAAGCCACATATTGTATGATTCCATTTATATGAAATGCCCAGAATAGCAAATCCACAGAGACAGATTAGTGGTTGCCAGGGGCTGGGGGAGGGCAGAATGGGAAGTAATTGCCATTGGGTACACAGTTTCTTTCTTGGTGATGAAAATGTTCTAAAATTAGATAATGCTGATGGCTGCACATCTCTGTGAATCTACTAAAAACCACTGAATTATACATTTTTAAAGGGTAAATTCTATGGCATGTAAATTACATCTCAATAAAGCTGTTATTTTAAAAAATTAATTCCACTTGTTTCTCTTTACTCTTTGAATAGTGCCACTAAAAATTTTAAGTTACGTATGTGACTCACACCATATTTTTATTGGGCGCTACTGGCCTATGTACTATTTGCCAACCTTAGTGTCTTTAGGTAAGTTGCTTCTATCAGGACCTGTTTCTAACATAGTTCCCATTATTACTAATTTTAGTATTGTAAAATGTCATTAATATGCCTTTATGACATATATTACCTTCATTGTTTTATTTCACAAACATTCATAATGTGTATGAGGACTAACAGAGGTTTTTCACTAACAGCTTCCATCCCCCCAACTTAATCCTTCCCAGAAGAACCTAAGTTTTTCAACTTAAATTCTAAGTGGCCCATGGCTTTTCAGGGACTCAGCTAGTCTCTTAGTCTGGGGAGGGAAACACTTCAATAGTATGTGGGTCAGCTATATACGAGGTGCCATCCTTACCTCAATGGCCTGGGGAACCACACATCTTCGAGGGCCATGAGGAACTCCTAACTGGCCGAAGGAGTTGGATCCACATGACAGAACTTGACCATTTTCTGCAAATCAAATATTTAAATCATAACCTCAGAAGTAAGATATCTTTGACCAGTGAGTAAATGTTGAAGGATGGGAGGAGCAAAGGGAATGAGAGGAGGAAGAGGGACTTACACTTTAGCACATTCAAACCACAGTCCCTGCTTTTATTGTTCCTCTAGGAATAAAAACACTAGGCACTGGGCTAAGCATTTTACAGATTCTCTATCACACTACCTAATTAATGGCAGCTTATCTGCTATAGAACATTAGCCTGGTGCTGGGATGGGATACTGATGCCCCACGCCCCACTTTTCATGTTTCCATGTGACATAATTTTCATTATTTTAACACTCCAGGCCTCTCTCCCTGCCCCTTCGTATGCTCCCTGCTTTCCAGGAGAAAAGGGGTAACTTAACCAACTGATAAGTTTGGGAGAAGGAAGAGCATGTGTGGCTTGGCACCTTCCTCTCAGGTACTCTAGACTGATGCACAGTAAGTGTTTCCCCTACAGAGATAACCTACTGTTTGCAGAATAACTCTGGATCAGAGGAGAATTAGCAGAAGCACTTGGCCTGACCATTAACCCTGTTCTCCAACATAGCCTTTGTCAGTGAAAAGCCAACAGTGTGATCTCCAGCTATCTGACTGCTCTCCACCTTTCTCACAATTGGTTCCAAAAGTGAGCAGGAAATAGAGTGTTATTCACAGACTCCCTACAACCCCAACATGGTCCACAAAAAGCACTTCAGAAATGATGGCTACTATTCAGGGTTATTAGTACCAAATTCACCTATTACAGAATCCCTCTGCAAAAGAGAGATGCTGATGCCTGAGCAGGGTTTTGAAGAAAGGATATGAGTCATCAGAAAAAGGGACTGTTCCAGAGAGAGAACAACATTCTGCTTGGTATTTCTAGAAAGAAAAGTATGGAGAATGTGGAGAATAAAAGACAAGGCAACAACAGGGATAGGTAAGGAACAGTAATTGAAGCTATGTGTGGAAGTTTGGGATCTGAGCTGTGCACATAAGAATCTACAAGGGTGGGGTGGGGAGGATTTGGTCAGAAAATGCCCTTGCCAGATGACTGTGTCAAAGAGGGAGTCTAGTCAGAAACTATACATGGTCTTCTCCATCCAGAATGGCAAGCTAGACAGGACAAAACTACTTCTGGGGAGAAGTCGGCTGACAAAAAGTAACTATTGCTAGCTGCTCCCAAGAGCATTATCCTATTAGCCCTTTGGCCATATCCCTCTACACCCTATTCTGCTATCTGGCTTTGCAGAGAGCAAAGAGTTGTGCCCAACCTTTTTTTTTTTTTTTTTTTTTTTTTTTTAATCCTTCAGTGGGGGAAAAGCTGCCATCACTGTTGTGTGACCGCTGACTTCCTCCTGCTTCCCCACCACATTTCCCCATGAGTAACCCTTCACCGGTACTAATGGCCAGCTAGCCCAGGCACACAGCTATCGTGAATTTCTGGGACAGGAAGTAGCCACCAAAGGTGATCCAGTCTCTTCCCTAGTCTCTAGTAAAAGTTTTCCAGCCCAAAATTTTGCTGTTCAAACTCTCCTTGCAAAAGGCACCCACAACTTTCCTCAACAACCAAAGAGAAATTTGTATGTATGTTTACACATAAAGAGACTTTCACTTAATCAGTATCACCACCATCCAGTTCTTCTCACCCAATGCCTTTGTGGTGATAAAGATTTACCCATGAGTGAACTCACCTGTGAGAATAATGGTAAAATCCCAGCCGCAGGCCACCTGTTGGACAGGACAGCCAAGGAGGGATCTGCAGGTGGTAAAATACAGAACATCTTCTGTGTGACCAAGCCCCAATTGCCCATCTTTGTTCAGGCCACAAACAAAAAGGCCTCCTTCATCTGCAGAAAGCAAAAGCTTTGGTGATGGTGTGCACAGGGGAAATTACAACTGTCAAAGCGAGTAAAAGTATTTTACTAATTAGCTGCAGTCACAAACCCAATAAATTTTTTCCCACCCGCGTTAATAAGCCATGTACGTTAATGTGCGCTGGCCCAAATGGCATAGGGCAAAGGGGCTCAAGTCTAGCATCTATATGAAAACTCCAAGTCCTAGAGCAGTGGCCAATCACCAAATAGAGCATCTACTATGATAAGAAAAGCCAACATTTATTTAGAACTTATAATATGCCAGGTATTCTTGTAAGAGCTTTATCTGTGGGGCCCATTTATCCTTTAGGCAGAATGCCTAGGGCCCACGATACTTTCAGAGCCCCACAAAAATGTTTTAATCTTATATTTTTCTAAAATAAAAAAAATAAATAAATGCAATAATAATGAATACACAATGCTAAATCTAGCCTGGATTATACTAATCTTTATATCAAAGCTGTCGTAAAATATAGTTCTTAATATTTCTTTAAAGAAGAAGGGGTCCACAAAGGCAAGAGTGCCAAGGACCCATGAAAGTCATAATGCAGCCCTGTAGTTCACTGATTCGCTTCATTCATCATTTTTATCCCCATGTAACAGAGGGAAAAGTGGCACAGAGAAATTAATTTGCCCAAGGCCACACAGCTAATAACAGAACCAGGATTTGAACCCAAGCAGTTGAATCCAGAACTCATGTTCTTAATCAGGATTCAATACACCATCCTTTCCAATATCATGGCACCTGGAGTACTCATTAAGTACTATCATAGGTATTATGAAGGAAATTAAAGAAAATACAAAGTTCTTGCTCTCAAGGAATATTCACTCTAACTGCAAAGACTTCTAACTCTAACATGTGAAAGTTAAATGACAATATATTGTATGAAATGTGGTATATGTTGCAACTCCGCCATTAATTTGTCTTGTAACCTTAAGCAACTGGTTTTCCTCTCCAAGCCTCATTTGTATAAATGGGGGTGGAGAGCCTAGATCTCTGAAGGGCTTTCAGCTCTGACAATCTAGAATTCTCTACTGGTAACTTGGCTTTTTCACAAAAATGTTTTCCTCTGCAAAATACAAAAGGATGAAAGATGGCAATACAATACGCTAGGGAGAAATGTCTAAATAAGAAATATCTACTCCAGAAGGATGTTACCTGTGACAATAGCAGAGTGGCCCCCTCCTCCCATGATCCTCCTGACACATTCAGGTTTATAGAAGTCATTCAGTTGCTGGGGCAAAAGCACATCTTCCTTGTGGCCAAGGCCAAGTTGCCCGTAGCTATTTGCACCCTAGGGATAAATAAGGCAAGGATGAAAGAGTACAGGAAACACAACTGCCATTGTGCATTTACCTGTCCCTATCTTTCTCATCCTGACATACCTCCCAGAGCCTCTAACAGATGAGATTTCATAAGCTCATTCTTAAGAGGTTGTTATATGCAACCCATACTTAGACAGTGGCCCTATACCCAGAACATGACGATTTCCACATGAGAGGAGCTCTTAGCATCCACTATTTATCCAAAGATATTCCTCGCCTTCTCCTTCTAATGCCCCAGCCCACATGTGTTGCCTCTGGGAGACAGCATGGGAGTTCCTTGTGATAAAAGCCAATTCTCTAGGGAGGCTAAGAAAAGAAATAAGGAAAGGAAATAGCAGCCAAGTGGGTGGGAAATGCACTGGACTTGTCCCTTCTCATGTCCTCACTGAGAAAACTGGCAAGGACTTCTTTAATCAAAGTTAGCTGAGGGCTTTGTGCCCTCAAGCAGGTCACCTCACTGTTATTTCATCGTACAGTGAAAGAGGTTGGCAATGATCTCTAAGGGCCTTTCCAAGTACAATGCTTTGAGACTCTAAGATTCACATGGTGAGATTCCTGTAAGGGAACAGATTTCCCCTTGGTGGGCAATATGTCTATCTTTGTTATTATGAAATAACAGTCCAGAATCCCAAATCCAAAACTCTTGCTGCCAGATGTATTTCAGATTCAGGCTTTTATAGGCTTAAAAATAATAATACTGTATATAAATCATATATACTGCTGCAAGGTCCAGGAGCAGCACCCCATAAGCAAAATAGTATTATTTCTGCAGTAAAAGGTACAAATACATTAACTGCACATAGACTATAAATAGCATTATGTCAGGTCAGTTTGAGTTTTGGAGGTTTTTGTTTTGTTTTGTTTTTTGTATTCAAACTTGAAGATAAAGAATTGTAGACCTGCAGAAAAATCTTTAGATTTCAGAAATCCTCATAATTCCTTATAATTACTCCTGGCTGGTTCTTCCTAGAGATAAGTAGTAAAACCTTCCAAATGTGTTTGTTTTCTAAGACATTTTAATGAGGAAAAATAATTTAAAATAACTACCCAAAATACATACATACATACAAACTCCTGCCCCTCATGGTCTATTTCATAGCCATCCTGGGCTGCAAGGACTCCAAGCTGAAAAAGCAAGCTATGGCAAGGGCACAGGTCCAAGAGGCCCTCAGGGGCAGTATTAGCTGCCAATTACTGACTGCTTCCTCAATACTTAGTATTCACCCTTAATTCTCACAATAACAGAGGAGATAGACATTTATGGCTCTCATTTTACAGATGAAGAAACTAAGTCTCAGAGAGGTTAAGTTGCATAGCTGCATAGCTGGGAAGGCAAGAAGTCAGATATGCCCTCCTCCTTTCACTAAGCTATACCATGTCCCTAAGGATTTTTGGTGAAATTCAGCCCTGATCTTACCTGGCAAGACACTAACTGTATGAATGTATCTACAATAGCACCCCATCACTTTATTCCCTTTTTATGCTTTTTCTTCATAGAACTCCCTGACATTACATTTGCTTAGTTGTTTTACTGTCTACCTCCCCTACTGCAAGGTAAACTCAATGAGGGCAAGAACTTTGTTTTGTTCACTGCCACTTTCCCTGAAAATGCATCTGAAACTATGCTGCCCCAGAGAAAGTGTATATATATTTTAGAGTGAATATAGTGAAAGAATATATGATCTGATGAGGCCCTACCTAGGAAAGATCAAATGAAAGATGTGCATGCTGTGGAGTACATATGCACAGGATGCCTCCATCAGGCCGGAGATCTCTGTGGCTGCCCCATTACCAGGACTACAAGCTGTTGAACAGAAAGTGAGAGAGACACATGCACTTGGGGCTCAAATTATGGCACTCAATTTCTGAAACACAGCAAGAGGCCCGAAATCCAGGATAAAGCAAAACAAAGAAAAATTCAATACAACATGTTAGCCGTACTTGCCTCCCTTCCTTACAAACACTCCAGACATACTACACACACACACACACACACACACACACACACACACACACACACACAACCCCAAGGAGGTAAATTTCCCCTTGTTAGGGGAATTGTGTTCCCCTAAAATTAATTTGTTGAAGCCCTAGACTCAAGTACCTCAGAAGGTGACTGTATCTGGGGATAGGGCCTTTTAAAAGATAATTAAGGTTAAACGAGGTCATAAAGGTATGGCTCTAATCCAATATAGGAAGGAGACACAGGGATGCTCTCAAACACAGAAAAAGCCACATGAGGACACAGCAAGAAGGCGGCCATCTGCAAGCCAAAGAAGGAGGCCTCAGAAGAAAGTAAACCTGCCAGACACCTTGCTCTTGGACTTCTGGCCTCCAGAACTACAAGAAAATAAAATCCATTTTTTAAGACGTCTCAGTCTCTGGTATTTTTCTGTGACAGCCCTAGCAAACTAACACACCCCTCCACACATATAATGCAGCGGGAAGGCCATCAGGCCTCCAAGCAGTAGACAAGGCCCTATCTGACACCCAGACCCCAGTCTCCCGCCTGGGAAAAGCCAGCACCAGCACCCACCGCAGGCACACATTCAACCCCAACTCCACCCCCGGCTCAAGTGCCACCCCAAAGACAGTACTCAGCCAGCCAGCCAACCTCAGGCCCCACGATCTCCCTTCTGCCGGTATATGCAGGCTTACACTCAACAAGTGCTGCCTGGTGCTGATCATTACCTTTTTTTGACTAGTCAAATACATGGTAGTTTTAACAGTAATCTAGGTGTTATCCCGCTCCCTCAACGCCAGAGCTGGGTCTTTCAGTTTTGTGTTTTTCCCCCAAAGACCAGCACATAGGCATACAAAAGGGTCTCTCATTCATTCATCCGTCCAAATATCTGCTAGGCACCGTGAACAAGACAGGCACAATACATCCCCCCTCGTGACGCTTCTAGCGAAAGAGACTGACATTAAGCAGACACCCACGCCCCCAACACAGGCAAGATCCGGTCACAGACGAAGATCAGCAAATGTGCACGGCCAAATACTGCAGGCCTCGCAGCAAACGGTGCTCTCGCCAGGCTGGGGCGGGGCTGGGAAGGGGCCGGCATCCTCCGGGCAACGAGAGGGTGAGGAGCGCAGGTGGCCTTACAATGGCTCCGGGACGGGGCGATACCTCCACGCCGTCTCTCCAGGCGCTAGCCCGGCCTAAGGGCTCTGGCGGAACCACACGCTCTGCCCAGGAGGCAGATGCTTCCCCCGGCGCCGCAGCCCCTCGGGTTCGGACCCCACCAGCCAGCAGGCCCCTAAGTCACCCGTGAGGACCCCTGCCTCCCGACCCTCTCCTCCTCAGGCCCCAGCCCAGGGTCCTCCAGCCCAGAGCCCGGCCGGGACCTCAGCCACCAAGCCCACCACAGCCCACGCGGAGGCCTCCAGCTCCCATCCCTTCGGCGCCCCTCAGTCCCAGCGGCCCCGGCCCGGGGGCGGAGTCACGTACCCAGGCGAATAGCACGGCCGCCTCAGGGGCGGCCTCGGAGGCTCTAGGCTCAGGCTCCATGTGTGGACTCTATGCCGGCGCTTCCGGGAGGGGTCGGAGGTGGAGCCCGCCAGAGGAGGGATTAGTAACTGGGGTGTGTGGTTGACGGGGGAGGGGTCTGTGGTTGGGAGGAGCCGGTGAGGGGGCGGAGTCTGCGGCGAAGGCGGGGCCATAGCTGGGAAGAGGAATGAGGTGGGGGCGGGGCTGGCCCGAGGGAGGGGGTCTATAGTGGGCGCGGGGCCGGCGCTGGGGAAGGGTCTGCAGAGGGAGAGGGACGGGCGCGGGGGTGGGGCCGTCGCTGGGGCGTGGTCTGTTGTGGGGGCGGGGCCGGAGCGGAGAAGGGCCCGCGGGAGCCCCTTAATTGCTCTGGAGTCGCCTCCCAGTCGCTCCGCCCGGGCGCGCTCTGAGTGAGTCAGCCTCCCGCCTCCAGCCTTGCAGTGCCTCTCTACTTCTCTCTCCCTTCCCTTGCACTCTATTTTTAGTAATATACGAGTGCACTACGCTCCTTCACGTTTTTATTTCTTTGGAGTCCCAAGATAGCCTGGAAGGACAGACAGGGCAGGGATTGTATCACCTTTTGACCGGGAAGAAATTGAGCCTGGGAGGGGTGGAAAGGGCCCCCTCCAGTGTCTTAGCGGAGCTGCCTTTGGATCTGCTTTGGTGTGTGTTTGCAAAATCTGAGAAAGCTCTTTGATAAACGAGTGTGTAGGAACTTAGACCTCGGGACACTGAACTGAGGAGGCTGGTTCTCATGGATTCCTGCCAGGGCAGCCTTTCTAACCCTCAGCGCGCAGAGCACGGTCCTGCCCTGATTCCGATCATCAATACTGGATAATATTCACCCAACAAAGGTTTTCATATAAAATGGCTTTTATCAGATACCCTTCTACACTACTAGTGGGAGCTAAACAAGTACAATTTTTCCGAAGGAAAATGGGGTAATGCATATTAGGAATATGAATGTAAATTACCCAGTAAATTCCACATCTGTTAATTTATCACAAGAAAATAATCAGAGCCTTGCACTAAGTCTTAGAATGCAAGTTATTTGTTAGGGAGTTGTACATAATAGGAAAGAACTTATTACCTGAAAGTCCAAAATTAAATTGATTAAGTTATGGCATAGCCATACAGTGAGTGGAATACTAGGTTGCCATTTAAAAAAATATGTTTTGGAAAATATTAAATAAGGGAAGCGTTCATGATATGTCATAAAAGTATTATAGCAATATACTATAGCAATTCTACACACACACAAACACATAGACTCAGGGTGGTGGATTACAGCTGAATTTTATTTTCTTTGCTGTACTTTTTTTGTACATAACCTGCATTTTCCAAGACATACATAATCTTGTGGGTACAAATGGGTCACATTAAAGATAATTCAGGGGCACCTGGGTGGCTCAGTCGGTTAGGCCTCCAACTTCAGTTCAGGTCATGATCTCACAGTTGGTGGGTTCAATCCATATGTCGGGCTCTGTGCTAACAGCTCAGAGCCTGGAGCCTGCTTCAGGGGATCCTGGGTCTCCCTCTCTCTACCCCTCCCCTGCTTGCTCCCTGTCTCTGTCTCTGTCTCTGTCTCTCTCTCTCTCTCAAAAATAAACATTAAAAAAAATTTTTTAAAGATGATAATCCATATTCACTAGTTCTTGACCTCCTCTGCTGACATAAGCCTCCAGTCCTCACCACCCTTTATGCCTGGGAGCCCTGGAATGTATGTATCTCCAGGGAGCTCTGAACACACCTTTCTTGTTCTTTCACACCAACCACTCCTTAGCATTTCTGCCTGTAAGTCCACTTGAGGGCAGCACCTCACTTTTTCCTCTCCCAGACTGAGGCATCTTGAGAACATCCATGACCATGCTAAGAAAAATACAAATTTGTGAGAGAGATGTCTAGAAACCAGCATATGACTTCCAGTCTATAAAGAGGTTGGAGAGGCAGAGAGAATTCTGATAGGATATAGGGGGACTGTTGTCAATGTGCTTTGAGCTCCACCCATCTCATGTCTCAGGAAAGGGTGCTTCTGCAGAACCACTTAGAGAGCTTGGTATGTATCCCTCCAGTCTGAAGCCTGGGCAGTCTGTAGATTTGTGCTGAGAAATCCGGTGGCTTGTGGCCAGATAACTACTCTGATAGTTGAGCAAAGAGAGATTGATACTTTGGACAGGTCTTTCATACCCAGAGTATCTCCCACTCTGGAGCAGTTTGGCCAGGGGGTGGTTTTGACCCTGTCCAGAGGAATTTCTGGAGGGGTGAAGGGACACCCCAATAGAGTTAACCACTAGATTCCTAGAGAGTGAGGGAGATGAATACAACAGCCCAGTCAGCGAGGTAGATTTACCCACATCCACAGATTCCCAAGAAATAAGGAGGTGGGAAGGTCTTCCAAAACACCCACAGAGAATGAGTCAGCATTAAATACTTACCAAGTACAGAAAGCACTGATGCCAACTCACGACAGTATCAAACCAAACAGAACTTTCTATTCATTGCCTCTCCTCCCCACTACCATTCCCAAACCCTGGAGAAGCCAGAGGCATCCTAGTGAGTGGGCACAGAGGAACAAGAAAGAGAGAAATTAGAAGCCAAGGACTGAAAATGAGCAGAGAATTCGAGGCCAGGACCTGAGATTTCAGCTGAAGGGGCAAGTAGAACTATCCACAGAGTCAGTTTTGATAGAGAGAGGATCTGGAAGGATACAATTTCACCCCTTGAATATACATGCATCTATATTTCAATTAACTTACAGTTATATTATTATATCTTTTAATACAATTTCTTGGAAGTGTTGAGATGTTGTCACTATTTCAACTACATACATGTCACTGAGTACCTCTTCCCATTAGCAGCCTGGTTGAGTGGCAGTTCCTGAATGGGGCCAAACTATTTGATGATATCAATTTCAAATGCCTTTTTTCCCCTTAAGAAGAAAGTATAAAGTATTTTGGGACCACCTAGACTATATCTATGTACCATGCAAATTAAGAAATGTTTTCCTTTAGATTATCTTATTTTATAGATGAGAAAAACCGAGGCTCAAAGAAGTTAGATAATTTACTCCCAGGTTAGATTTCCATTTTTTTTTTTTTAACGTTTAATTTTGAGAGAGAGAGAGAGAGAGAGAGCAAGCAGGGGAGGTGCAGAGAGAGAGGGAGACACAGAATCCATAGCAAGCTGCAGGCTCTGAGCTGTCAGCACAGAGTCCAATACGGGGCTCGAACTCACGAAGAGTGAGATCATGACCTGAGCCGAAGTCGGACCGACTGAGCCACCCAGGCGCCCCAGATTTCCATTTTTGATACAGGCGAATTAGTTAGCTGCAGATCAAGCCTCTCACAAGAACAACTAGAAAAGCTGGGGGATAGTATTTTAAAAATCTATTTCAAGTCATTGGAAAATTATCAAAGCAGCCAGAACTTGAAGGGCCAAGATCTGGAAGCTGAGAGTTTATATTTGGCACTGCTTTTCCACTTGAAGTGTTTGCTAATTAGCAAGTAGTGACTTGGAGGCTAAGAAACTGGGCTAAAAGCTGCAGCTGAGAAGCTGAGAAGCTGAACAGTACTTTCAGCAATCTTATAGGGGTGAGGAGAATGACAGGAGGAGGGGACAAAAGTAGGCATCCAGGGTCCCCAAAGAGAAGCCCTCGTACACACCCATAGCTTTCCTTTGGGATCCCTAAAGCACTGCACCCTGGGAGTAGAGTGAACCGGAAATAGACCAGCCCTCACAAAGACTGAAGTTCAGCTTCAAATTAGCTTAATCCCTAATTGGACTAAGAAGATCTTGCATGCCATTATATACTGCCTGTTAGAAGCAAAAGTGAATTCCTTCTGGAAGAAGATAAAGTCATCCAGAAGCTATGGGAGATCCTGGATCAGGACAGTGAGTGTATTAATGATTCTTTACATCTGGATAACAAGTTTCTTTTTACAATGCCCTTTTACAACATAATTCCTCCAATAACTCAATGAAGTAGATTTAGCTAATGATTCAGATGAGAAACATGAGATTGAGACTTTATCAAAAATTCCAAAAGTAGTTACTAAGTTCCAAGTGTGTTGGGTTCCCCTTATATCTCATATTCACAAGCTTTTCAAGAAGTATAGGATGTTATAAATTTCTTAAACTTATAAAATTGCTAATATATATTGAAATCCGTTTTTAACATGTTTGACAAAAAAAGGCTTATTAAGAACATGAATTTTGTGTCCATTTATTATTATCTGCTTGAATAACAAACTTGCAAATCATAAATATATATTACATAGTACAATAAACACTAGACTGAAATGGACCACAGCATCTTTATACATTTCCTAGAAATTACTATATGGACTCTATTATGTGTGCCTTTAAAGAACTCCAGGAATTTTTCCTTTTTCAGTTTCGAAGCCAACTTACAAATTAAGTATAATTGTGTACATTCTGGTGTGTCATTACAATATATAACTCCAAATTACAACATAGGCAGATTAAGAAATATAGGTATTCTGACAACCAGCTAGCTTTTAGAGCTTTCTTCAAAAAGTCAGAAAGATACCACCTACATCTTTAAGTATTAAGTCATTGATTAAGAATTATAAACTAGGGGCGCCTGGGTCGGCTCAGTCGGTTAAGCCGTCGACTTCGGCTCAGGTCATGATCTCTCAGTCCGTGAGTTCGAGCCCCACGTCGGGCTCTGTGCTGACAGCTCAGAACCTGGAGCCCGTTTCAGATTCTGTGCCTCCCTCTCTCTGACCCTCCCCTGTTCATGCTCTGTCTCTCCCTGTCTCAAAAATAAATAAAATGACGGGGCGCCTGGGTGGCGCAGTCGGTTAAGCGACCAACTTCAGCCAGGTCACGATCTCGCGGTCCGTGAGTTCGAGCCCCGCGTCAGGCTCTGGGCTGATGGCTCGGAGCCTGGAGCCTGTTTCCGATTCTGTGTCTCCCTCTCTCTCTGCCCCTCCCCTGTTCATGCTCTGTCTCTCTCTGTCCCAAAAATAAACGTTGAAAAAAAAATTTTTTTTTAATTAAAAAAATAAATAAAATGTTTAAAAAAATAAAAAAAAAGAAGCCCTAGCCTTCTGAGATAATTAAAAAAAAAAAAAAGAATTATAAACCAAACTTTCGACTCAATTCTATTCTCATATTGGAGTAAATATTAACATATTCTTAGATGCCTTAAAGACATATATTTAAAATATTTATTTAAAATTCTAAGACTCTCAGGACTCCTGATGTACCAAATAAATATCACAAGCCCAGAGGTTAGAAGAACTAAAATCAATCATTAAATATTTCCATTATTCTGAAGTTATAAGTAATATTGATTGTGCTCTAACACTGATTTTAGTGTGTTTTATGCAGAGTGGTTTTAAATACCACAATCTTAAAATTCAAAAACTATGATTCTTTATACCATGATCAAAGTTATATGAAAATAACCAAATATGATATGCATAACTTGCTATTAATTGTTATCTATCATGGTTTTCTTACAGATTTCCTTGCAACCAAATTCACTAACTATAAACTAGCTAATCAATATTTTAAATGATTTTAGATTTGCTGACTTAGATCTATTACTATCAAAGGTATATTAAGTTATACTTAACTAAAATTATAAGTAATGTAAAAATCTGAAATAGCATGAATTACTCTTCCCAGTTCTATTTCCTTGTATGACCTAAAATAAAAGAAATTTTTTTAAGTTTCTATAATTTCTTTTGTGGCCTTAAAATAAATGAAAAGATCTAGTGGTCTGTTGAGATACAATGTGTTAAATGGTATACCATTTGACTATTAATGTGAAAAAAAGTAAAGACAGTTTTTTAAGTACCTGATTAAGAATGAATAATTGGCTAAAAATATGACCCATAGTATATCATTAACAGAAATGACATCATTGGGAGAGGAACCTGGTGGGGTGTAATATTCAGGTGATCCTGAGGTTTTTATTCATGGGTTCTTTTTTTTTTAACGTACTGAGTGTGAGATACTTGGCAGGTGTACCGTGTTGTATAAACCCGTTTCATTCTATGTGGATGGTACCACAAGAAGTTGTACAACATTGGCCTGATTTATGGGACATCTAGATGGAAAATATCTAGCAGGCAGATGGACTTAAGAGGCAAAAATTCAACAAAGATCTCAAGGTTAGAACTGCAAACACGGGAGTCATACAAAATAATAATTTAAGTCATGGATGTGGATAACATTTCCCATAAAGAAATGGCAGAAAGAGAAGACCAAAGACAGAAGAAACTTGAGGAGGGAGTGGGGAAGAGAAAAGGAGCAAATTAAACAGATACAGCACGTATTGAGGAGTCCAGCTTCACCTGCTTGTATCAGGCCCATTCCCTGTACTACACAGCAGACACCACATAAAAACCAGTCCTTGCACCCTTGCATTATTAGTGTCAGACCTAAAATGGTCTTCTTGACCTTTCTCACATCCCATTTCCTCAGCCGTTTCCCCACCCTCCACCCTTATGCCTTGACTCCCTATTTACAGTCTCACCTTAAACCTTGGAAATGAAGTGCCCAACATCAGTTTTCCAACATTAACTTTGTGCTTCTCTCACCTGTCTCAGTTTGAACTCTCCATTTGACAATATCATCTTCTGCTAACCTAAGGGCAAATCCCATCATGATATGCTACACGTCTGAGTATAGGGCCTTGCAAATGCCCGGCCTCCAAGTTCCCCGTTGGACCCATGAGTAGAACAGATAATCTGAAACAAAATCAGCATGGGGCATCTGGGTGGTTCAGTCAGCGTCTGGCTTTGGCTCAGGTCATGATATCATGGTTCGTGGGTTTGAGCCCCGCAGTGGGTTCTGTGCTGACAGCTCAGAGCCTGGAGCCTGCTTCAGATTCTGTGTCTCCGTCTCTCTCTGCCCCTCCCCTGCTCATGCCCTGTTTCTCTGTCTCAAAAATAAAATAAACGTTTAAAAAAAGTTTTAAAACAAAACCAGCATCATGCAGTGCCTTAGAAAACAAAGGGTCTCACTCAAGGAGGATGGTCACATGGGAAGGGGCTCCCTAGTGCCCACCAAATAAAGTCCCAAATTCATAACCTGGTCTTGAGGATGATGCCCTAATCAACCTTTCCAGATTTAGCTACTCCTATTTCCTTACAAGATACCATGCTTGAAACTAGACTACTTGTTCTTTATGAGGTGTGCTTCATGTGGAAAGGTCTCTATACTTCTGCCCATGGTAGCAGTGGAGACAGTGGGTCTCCTATTAACTTTATGGCTCTGAATGCGATCAAGCTTGGCACAAATCCAATGATAAGTAAGATACTTTAGAAATAAAAGGATCTTAGGTATCAATATGGGTCAGCTCCATGATACCCACCAAGGCATTTTAAATGATCATAAAGGTCATTTTACTCAAGAAAAATTAGGGAAAAGAGAATCAAGCTGGTATTAGATCTATCCATGGGGTTAAAAAACTTCTCTATAAAACATGAGTGGTCAGTCAGGGGCGCCTGGGTGGCTCAGTTGATTAAGCGTCCAACTTCGGCCCAGGTCATGATCTCACGGTTTGTGGGTTCAAGCCCCACAAACCGGGCTCTGTGCTGACAGCTTGCTCAGAGCCTGGAGCCTGCTTCAGATTCTGTGTTTCCTTCTCTCTCTGCCCGTCCCCCACTCACTCTCTGTCTCTGTCTCTCAAAAATAAACAAAATGTTTAAAAAAAAATTTTTTTAAACGAGTGGTCAATGAATTGTATGGTATGTGAATCATATTTCACTAAGCTGTTACAAAAAAAAAAAAAAATAGGTACTGTTATAGAGTATCCAGGTACAAATTTCCAAAGAACTAATTAAGGAATGGGAGTAGAGAATGTTGTTTGGCTACTGTCCCTCCATGACCAGGTCTTCAAGAAAAGCAGGAGCTGGCCCACAGGCCTCTGAATTGGCGCTCAGATGCTCTCAGGATCAGATGCTCAGCTGCTTGCTGACCTTCGCAAGGGCATCACTGACAACATCAAGATCATGCTGCAGTTCATTCATGGCACTGGTTATGCTCTTGGTGTCTTTCAGGATCTGAATACTCCGTGTATATGGATTATACTTCACTCCAAATGGACGCTTAATTGTTTTGGTAAATTCTCTATTGAAGAAAACAAGTAAGAGGCAATCAATTTCTAGGAGGCAGAATGATGAAAATGGAATGAGCAATAGCAAACCTATTTCACACACTAGACAAAAGACACAGCCAATTTGACCTATTTCCCTACACTGCCTGTGCAGAGATCCCCTGGAATCCTACACAGGTAGGAAACCTAAAATTGTCATAGACACATCCACCCCTGCATTTCTAGGGAAAGATCCTGTGGATGACTGTATTAATGATGTATTCCTTTATATATCTCTTGGCTACGCTAAGGAGACCAACTACAGTAGCTTTATCAGTAGACAACGGTAGCCCTTGACCACCTAGTAACAGACTCCTCAGCTGTGATTTACATAACTACAGCTATACACACACAAACACACATACATGGAAACAGGCCAGAAACAGGCCAGGAGGCCTGCCTCCTGCACATGGACATTCTTTCTGTTTAGAATGTCATCCTCTAGCCTCTTCTCAAATGACCTAACTTCTACCCTTTCTTCACACATTAAAGTTCTGCCTTCTTTATCAGGCCAACATTTGAACCTCTCATTTGGCACCCCCAAGAACAATTGTGTTCAGGACCCCTAGGAACACACCTGAAGACAGCTGTACAGGAGTAAGGGCTGAAATGCAGCTTGCAATCCAACTGGTCTACCCAGAAGGGACCCCTTTTTCTAGTCTGCAAAAGGGGGTCATATGTGTTAGAGGAAGCCCTGCTAGTATTGTTATTTGGTTCTGTGCATGGCCTAACTCCTCGAGTAACAGAAAATCCCTGGAAGACAAGGAGCATGTCTTAAACCCCCATCTATCCCACAACGATCTCACAATGTGACCTCATGACACCTTCCAACAAATGTTTTGTTAATTCTGCTTCTATAGTCCTACAGTCTTGGCCCAGGCCCTTATTTTCACCTGAAGTATTACAAAAATCTCCTAAGTAGTTTCTCTGCCTCCAATGTTCTTCTTTCTTAACAATACACTTAGCTGACCAATAGTTAAATAACACATAGCTTGATTGCATCACACTCTTGTATGTTTCCATCTCCTTACCTTTTTTATGCTGTTCCTTAGCCTAAAACTTAACATACCTAAGTCCTATTTATCCTCCAAGTGCTTTTTCAGATGTCATTAAGCTTTCCCTGTTCCTCCATCTGGAACAAATTGCTCCTGAATAAAATGGAGAACAAAGTTTCATCTGTATCACTGTAAGGCTTCCTATGTTGTTACGTAGCAATTTGTATATAGTTTATTTTTCCTATTAGATTATAAACTCTGATGAGGAGAAACCAATTTCTCAATGTATCTGATTCATATATGCAGTCACCAAACATCACCATAAACAACATACTCTAAATATTTGTTGTGAAAGGGAGATCTATCACAGGCAGAAGGTACCTAGTAGGCTTCTAATTATCCAGCTGCTTACTTCTGTGATTTGTTACCATTATTGGACCTATATTTTTCTTTAATCTATTTATTTATTTATTTATTTATTTATTTATTTTTATTATTATTATTTTAGAGAGAGAGGTCACGCGAGTGGGGAAGGGGGCAGAGGAAGAGAGAGAGAAAATCCCAAGCGGTCTCCATGCTCAACACAGAGCCTGACATGGGGCTTGATCCCATGACCCTGGGATGATGACCTGAGCCAAAATCAAGAGTCAGATACTCAGCGGACTGAGTCACCCAGGCGCCCCTGGACTTATCTTTTGCAGAGGAAAGTTAGGCATGAGGAAGATATACTTTACCTCATCTTCTCTTTTGCATCTTCAAAGCTTTCAGATACAAAGTACACATCCTGAAAAGTTGTGATGCGACACTCCTGTTTGCAGGTAATCTTGGGATCAAAGGGCTTTACTTTGGCATGTCCAGAAAGTGAATGCTAGAAGATAGTCAGTGAATCAAAGAATATTGTCTAATTTTATGGATCACATCCTACACACAACCACCACAATCAGCACACCTCTGAATGTATTAATGCAATGGCCCCAACCTACAATTCCAAACTTATTTCCTACAGCATTATTTAACCCACAATATACTTCAGCAAAACAAACTGCTGTTCCCCATAAGTGCCCCAAGATCATCCCATAGCATTGTTCTAACGCACTTTCCATGTAAGAGCCCCCCAGTGATCTTTATTTATATATTCCTGCATTAGGACACCTACTTTCCATCCTGTACTAGTTATTCCTATACATGACTGTACCCACCATCAGGTCGTAGGCTCCTTGAGAGCAAGACAGTACCATGGACAGTGTTTCACACACACCCATTACTCAACAAACATACTTAGTTCATTCCTTTATTGGATAAATAATCAATCTCAAAGAATTCTCTAGAATTTAGGAGAAGTTATTGCTAGCACACTAAAAATGATGAGAGAACAGCAAGACTTTGCAAGCAAAAGCTCTAAAGTACTTTTTATTTAAAAGATATATCTATAGTGTGTCAACTATACTCAAAAAAGAGAAATTAAGTCATTAAAGTCCACATATAAGTAAAAAAACAATTTAAGATATCACTATAAACTTGGGAAATAGAGAAAATTGTCTCTTAAGTAACGTTTATTGCCACCCCAAGTATTTTCCATAGTAGACACTTGTTCAAATCCAAAAACTCTTTCTGGTCGTATCAATCATATTAAGTGAACATGACTATATGCAGAGGTTTACAGCTCTTACTTTAAGTTCACTGATCGAAGAAAGTAATCCAGCACCAAAGACTCGCAACTGCCCATCTTGTTTACAGAGGCCAAACTCCACAGTGAAAAAGTAGCACTGCAAAAGGACATTGATATTACTTTCACATCCTGAATTAGCTCAATTTAAAACAAACTGCAACCCTTAGAGATTGACCCAAAGTGTCCTGGAATTAAGTTCAAGACCCCCAGACCAGTTCACAAGTATTTCTACAATCTGGGCTTGTTCTAAGGTAGCCCCTCTCAAACTGCTGTTCCCAGGACTCTTACACACTCTTAAAAATTACTCAGGACCTGAAAGATCTTTTGTTTATGTGGGTTACAGCTTACTATATTTACGGCAGTAAAAGTTAAAACTGAAAACATTTACATGTTTACTGATTAAATTTAAAATGTAATAAGCCATGTTATGGTAACATAACAATTTAATGCAAAGTGACTTATATTGTACAAAACAAAAAAGAGTCAGGAAAAAGGCATTGTTTTACATTGCTCTAAATCTTTTTTAACATCTGGATAGATATTATTTAATGTCTGGCTGGAAAGCAAGATGGATTCTCACATCTGCTACTGCATTTAACCTGTTGCAATGTGTTGTTTTGGTTCAAGTATACGAAGAGAATTCAGCCTCACACAGAAAAGTAGTTGGAAGAAGGCTAAATATTTTAATAGCCTTTTCAGATAATTGTGGGTATTCTTCTTTGACACATCAGAACTCAACAAGTGGCAATTTCTTAGAGTTCAGCTGTAGTACGGAGTCTGAAACTATATCAATGAACTCTAGCCTTTCTTATATTGAAAGCCACTTTGCATTCTGAGTGGGTCTTTCACTTAAGGACCCTGTGCAAGGGTTGCAGGGACTCTAGGGGGTCCCTGACCCACAACTAGAGAAGCACTGTTCTAATCATCTAGCCTATTTCATACTATCTCCCCGACCCTAACACACGCTGCTCCAGCTTCTCGTCATTTCCCCAGACACACCAAGCACCTCCTGTCTTCCCTTGTGTGCACTCATCCAGAGATGCTCTTCCTCCCTTTCTTGGCAGGTGAAAACATGACTCATCTTCCCTGGGCTAGTCCAGATGTTCCTCTTCCATGAAACCTCCCCCAAGCAGTTCTCTGTCCTCCCAGACCACTCTGCCTGAACTTCGCTGTACAGTTCATCCCATCCTAACACAACAGCTTCCTCAAGTAGCGTATAAATTCCTTGAAGGCAGGAACCAGGCCTTCCTCATCTTTGTATTTCCAGGACGACATCTTGTACCTAGTGCTCAAAGAATATTTTTAGCATCATCTTTAGAGGGCCTATCATTTTTACCAAAGAAATATCTACAAACTATTGTTATTGAACTCTAGTGTTTCTCTACCATTTTTTAAGGCCCATGTCTCCTTTTGATGAACCTTAAAAATCTTACATCCTCCTTTAATGTTATTGAAATCATTTAAATTACCAATTTTGATGCCTTTGATTTCCTTTTGTTGTCTGATTGTTGATGCTAGAACTTCCAACTTTATGTTAAACAACAGAGGTGAGAGTGGACATCCCTGTCCTGTTCCTGATCTCAGAGGGGAAAGCTCTCAGTTTTTCCCCATTGAGGATGATATTAGCTGTGGGCTTTTCATAACTGGCTTTTATGATATTTAAGTATGTTCCTTCATTCCCAACTTTCTCAAGGGTTTTTATTAAGAAAGGATGCTGAATTTTGTCAAATGTTTTTTCTGCATCGATTACCAGGATCATATGGTTCTTATCTTTTCTTTTATTAATGTGATGTATCACATTGATTGGTTTGCAAATGTTGAACCAGCCCTGCAGCCCAGGAATGAATCCCACTTGATCATGGTATATAATTCTTTTTATATGCTGTTGAATTCGATTTGCTAGTATCTTGTTGAGAATTTTCGCATCCATATTCATCAGGGATATTGGCCTGTAGTTCTCTTTTTTTGCTGGGTCTCTGTCTGGTTTGGGAATCAAAGTTATGCTGGCTTCATAGAAGGAGTCTGGAAGGTTTCCTTCCCTTTCTATTTTTTTGGAACAGCTTGAGAAGGATAGGTATTATCTCTGCTTTAAATGTCTGGTAGAATTCCCCAGGGAAGCCATCTGGTCCTGGACTCTTATTTGTTGGGAAATTTTTGATAACTGATTCAATTTCTTCGCTGTTATGGGCCTGTTCAAGTTTTCTATTTCTTCCTGTTTGAGTTTTGGAAGCGGGTGGGTGCTTAGGAATTTGTCCATTTCTTCCAGGTTGTCCAGCTTGCTGGCATATAATTTTTCATAGTATTCCCTGATAATTGCTTATATTTCTGAGGGATTGGTTGTAATAATTCCATTTTCATTCATGATTTTAGCTATTTGGGTCATCTCCCTTTTCTTTTTGAGAAGCCTGGTAAGAGGATTGGCAAAGATGAAGTCAAGCTTTCACATTTTGCAGATGACATGATATACATGGAAAACCCAATAGATTCCACCAGAAGTCTGCTAGAACTGATACATGAATTCAGCAAAGTCACAGGATACAAAATTAATGTACAGGAATCAGCTGCATTCTTATACACTAATAATAAAGCAACAGAAAGGCAAATAAAGAAACTGATCCCATTCACAACTGCACCAAGAATCACAAAATACCTAGGAATAAACCTAACCAAAGATGTAAAAGATCTGTATGCTGAGAACTATAGAAAGCTTATGAAAGAAATTGAAGAAGATACAAAGAAATGGAAAAACATTCCGTGCTCATGGATTGGAAGAATAAATATTGTTAAAATGTCAATACTACCCAAAGCAATCTATGCATTCAATGCAATCCCAATCAAAATTGCACCAGCATTCTTCTTGAAGCTAGAACAAGCAATCCTAAAATTTGCATGGAACCACAAAAGACCCCGAACAGCCAAAGTAATACTGAAGAAGAAGACCAAAGCGGGAGGCATCACAATCCCGGACTTTAGCCTCTACTACAAAGCTGTAATCTTTAATACAGCATGGTACTGACCCCAAAACAAACACCTAGCCCAATGGAATAGAATAGAGACTCTGGAATTGGACCCACAAAAGTATGGCCAACTAATCTTTGACAAAGCAGGAAAGAATATCCAATGCAAAAAAAAAAAGACAGTCTCTTTAACAAATGGTGCTGGGAGAACTGGACAGCAACATGCAAAAGAATGAAACTGGACCACTTTCTTACACCATTCACAAAGATGAACTCAAAATGGATGAAGGACCTGAATATGAGACAGGAAACCATCAAAACCCTAGAGGAGAAAGGAGGAAAAAACCTCTCTGACCTCAGCCGCAGCAATTTCTTACTTGACACACCTCCACAGGCAAGGGAATTAAAAGCAAAAATGAACTATTGGGACCTCATGAAGATAAAAGCCTTCTGCACTGCAAAGGAAACAATCAACAAAACTAAAAGGCAACCAACGGAATGGGAAAAGATATTTGCAAATGACATATCAGACAAAGGGCTAGTATCCAAAATCCATAAGAACTCACCAAACTCCACACCCAAAAATCAAATAATCCAGTGAAGAAATGGGCAGAAGACATGAATAGACACTTCTCTAAAGAAGACATCCAGACGGCCAACAGGCACATGAAAAGATGCTCAACGTCACTCCTCATCAGGGAAACACAAATCAAAACCACACTGAGATATCACCTCACACAGGTCAGAGTGGCTAAAATGAACAAATCAGGAGACTACAGATGCTGGAGAGGATGTGGAGAAACGGGAACCCTCTTGCACTGTTGGTGGGAATGCAAACTGGTGCAGCCACTCTGGAAAACAGGGTGGAGGTTCCTCAAAAAGTTAAAAATAGATCTACCCTATGACCCAGCAATAGCACTGCTAAGAATTTACCCAAGGGATACAGGAGTGCTGATGCATAGGGGCACTTGTACCCCAATGTTTATAGCAACACTTTCAACAATAGCCAAATGGTGGAAAGAGCCTAAATGTCCATCAACTGATGAATGGGTAAAGAAATTGTGGTTTATATACACAATGGAATACTACGTGGCAATGAGAAAGAATGAAATATGGCCTTTTGTAGCAACGTGGATGGAACTGGAGAGTGTTATGCTAAGTGAAATAAGTCATACAGAGAAAGACAGATATCATATGTTTTCACTCTTATGTGGATCCTGAGAAACTTAACAGAAGATCATGGGGGGAGGGGAGGGAAAAAAAAAGGTTAGAGAGGGAGGGAGCCAAATCATAAGAGACTCTTAAAAACTGAGAATAAACTGAGGGTTGATGGGGGGTGGGAGGGAGGCGAAAGTGGGTGATGGGCATTGAGGAGGGCACCTGTTGGGATGAGCACTGGGTGTTGTAAGTGTTGTATGGAAACCAATTTGACAATAAATCTCATATTAAAAATAAATAAATAAATAAATAAATAAGAAATCACTTAAATTAAATTAAATATGAACAAAGACAAATCTAACAGCCATCTTGAATCTGACACTCACATCCCACCCCAGATAAGAATTACTGATCTACACAGCTATTTTCAGATTTATACCGTTGCCAGTTTTTGAACAGCCTCCTCTGAAGCTCCAAGAGAAGCCAGGCCAATTTCTTGGGAGAATTGAGCAAAACTAGGTTCAGCCAACAGGGGGACATGACCTAAGAGTTCATGGCAGGTATCTCTGAAAAAGAGGTACAAGTTTGTCACACTGTGATGCTTATGTCACACATAAATGCAAAATCAACAATTCAATCAAGCCAGAATCTCATCTTCCTTCTATTCAGGTGGTATTACTTGGAAATAGATCACAAAGGACACTAACAATGTAGCAGAGAAACTATTTTGGTTCAAAACCTAGGCCACTCAGAAACATACACACATAGGATACCCATAGACATGTGCCCCCCACACCCCCACCAAATCAAGTCTCTGCTCAAATTTCACCTTCTCAGTGAGTCCTTGTCTGATCACCCTTTTCAAAACAGAAACACTCCACACATAACACCTTTTTCCTCCTGCTCTGCTTTACTTTTCTCCATAGCACTTTTCACCATCAAATATAATATGTTATTTACTTGTTTATTATCCTTATCCCCCATTGGAATATAAATTCTATGAAGGCAGAAATTTCTGCCTGATTTTTTTCAATGCTACACTCCCTATGCTTAGGATAGCACCTGGCACCTAACAGGTTGTCAGTTACTAATAGTAATGCTAATGGCTAACATATGCAGAGCATGGAGCATGTATCATGTGCCAGGCATTATTCTCAATGCTTCACATGCGTTCATTCATTTAATCTTCACATAAAACTCATGACGTGAGTACCACTATGACAAATACTATTTGATGAATGAAGGCTGAAGTAGAAGTACTCACGGCTCTGGGGTATAGAGAGGGTCTGAACTGTGTCTCACATACTGTGTGCAGTGAAAAACTCGAAAGGCTAAACCTGATAAGAAATCTCTTGGTGATAAGTAACCAGCCACAGGACGGATGGAAAAACCTGTGCGCTCTGCAAAGCAAAGGAGAAAATGAAGAAAATCTTCACCCAAACAGACCAGTTACCGCCACGCTTTAATACTGCCAGTGGTACCAAGTAACACTTTGAGGGAGAACATGGAAACTAAAATGTGTCATGTGTGCACTAAGGGGAAGTGATAATTATTAAGCACTTACTATGGTCAGGCAATGAGTTAGACCTTATACATCATACCCCCTTTGATGTTTGCAATTTGAATTAAAGTTTATTCTCCTCATTGTGATGACTATAAAACCGAGGCTCAGAGACTTAGTAAGTATCCAAGGTCACACAGTAGATAATAAAAGTAGAAAGGGAGCCCAGGTCTCCTTATATTACACCTTATTGTCTCCCTAAAGGGTTTAGAATATCTCTTAGACAATCTTACTTCCTTTTGCAAAAAAAAAAAAAAAAAAAAAAAAAACTAAGAAGATCTATTAATTGAAATCAGAACGATTTTTTAATCTATGCCATTTTTAGCCAGTATTACCTCTTGCAAAGTAGTTTCTATACTTTCTCTAAACTGGATGGTGCTCGTTTATTCCCCAACAGCTATAACTGCGTATGCCTTCTATAAAAAGAGACCAGCCAGTAGGCCACAGTGGCTCAGGGGAACTCTATAAGCTCTACTCTTTCCATTCATTTCAAATCCTCACCCTCTGATCTTCCAGTTCCACCCCGTTGCTTTGTACTTGGATTCTCCCACTCTGATGGGTAGATTTCATGGTCCAATAGAACTCTCCATGATAATGTAAATGTTCTATATCTAGGCTGCCCAATAGGGTAGCCACTAACCACATATGGCTATTAAGCACTTGAAATGTGGCTAGGGTGGATAGAAAACTAACATTTTGATTTACATTAATTTGAATTATTTAAGCAACCACATGTGTCTAGGGACTACCATATTTGACAGTGCAGAGAACTCCTTCCAACTGATGTTTTGTTTGAAGTATCATTTAAGTTTGGTTTCCCTCTTTGGCAGTTTCTCTTGAAACACCTGTAGCAACATGTTCTGCAGACAATTCAAGCTCCAGACCCCAAGTGAATAGCTTTCAGTTTTGTACCCATAACAAAATATTTCCTCCAAATCTCAAGCAAATTTAATTTGATAACTTCCATAGTATATACTTGTCCATCTTTGTAAGACCCACGAGGTCATGTGCATTGGTTCTCTGTCATCCTTCATCACTATTTTTTAAATCTGGTTTTTATAGGAACCATGTACACGAAATCTTCCCTTGTAAAACTATCATGCCTTTTCCTGTTTAGTTCTTAGTTTTGCGCATAGTGGTTGACTAATAAGAATTATGGAGCTGAGTAAATTCATAGACTTTTATGACAATCTATGTAAGAAATTCAGTGATAGGAATTTCAGACCACGGTGGAAATAAACTAAACCATTTGAGTGAAAAGCATAACTTCTATTTGTTCCCTGAGATCAAAGGGGATATATATTTTTCTTACATACTGTAAACCCTGGAAATTACTGATCATGTTACATCCTAAACTAGCTAGAAAAAATAAGGAAACCTGCACCAAATAAGCATGAAGAACTAAAAGGAAAAAAATTAACCTACTCTGTTAATGCCTCTACTTGCTCATCTTCCTTGGGAAACTGATAGAGTCTTAGTGTGGAAAGGAGCTTCAGAGATCATTTACACCAATCTTCCCCTAAGAAGCCTGAATCTCCTCTACCATATCCCAGACAAGTGGGTATAGAGCTTTTGTATGAAAACCTCTGGGGAGGCAGAAATAATCATCTCATGAGCCTGTTCCATTTCTAAATGGCTCTTTTAACACAAGGTCTTCTCCATTTTGAGCCAAAAGCTTGCAGTTTCAATCCAATTGTCATTTACTTTAGGACCACATAGTAATTCCTCTCTTACATAAGATGATCATCTGGTACCTAAATAAAGCTATAATGTCCTCTAAATCTCCAGGCTAAATATCCTAAGAGTCCTCCAAATTTTATTTATATACTATGTTTTCCAATCCCATTATAATTCTGCTCACTTTCCTCTACACCGGCTCCAGGTTATGATTGTCCCTCTTCAAATGGGGTGCCCCATACTGGATCCAATACTCCAGGACGGAGTAAGGAAAATCTGACCTCCTATGTACTTGACTTTCTTCTTCTTTAACAATTTTTTAAGTTTATTTATTTATTTTAAGACAGAGAAAGAGAATGTAAGTGGGGCGAGTGACAGAGAGAGAGAGAGGGAGAGAGAGAATCCCATGCAGGCTCTGCACTGTTGGTGCAGAGCCTAATGCGGGGCTTGAACCCACAAACCATGAGACCATGACCTGAGCTGAAGTCGGACATTTAACTGACTAAGCCACCCAGGAGCCCCTTGACTTTATTCTTTTATTAAAAATTCTGTCATGGATGGGGCTCCTGGGTGGTTCAATTGGCTAAATGTCCAACTTCAGCTCAGGTCATGATCTCACGGTTCATGAGTTCAAGCCCCATGTCGGGCTCTGTGCTGACAGCTCAGAGCCTGGAGCCTGCTTCGGATTCTGTGTCTCCCTCTCTCTCTGCGCCTCTCCTGCTCACGCTCTGTCTCTCTCTCTCTCTCGAAAATAAACATTAAAAAAATTTTTTTTAATTCTGTCATGATCACAACAGAGTTCAACATTCCCCTTACAAAAAAGTAATTCACTTATTACCTTTTAAAAAGTTTGAGACATCTTCCAATTGTGGGATATTATCTTCCCGGTATCCACAATATTTAGAAAGCAAAGGTAAGTTTTTGAGATACTCTCTGCAGGCATGGGTTGGGTAAAGTTTGTTCAGCTCTCGGAACACGGTTCCCCAGGTCTTAATCTCCTCTTCAGTGAATTCAACCTTGGGAATGGGGTCTCCACTAATGAGACACAGATGTTAGTTTGAATTAGCATTCAATAAATAGTAGCACTCACTTTCTATTTACTAAATGAGTATAACTTATTCTATTCATTTATTTTATATGTGTTATTTATAATATACTTACTGCTTATAGTTCATAGCCAAGTCTGCAAAATACTTTCGTCTTTTACGGTAGACATTGTCTTTGAAGCCCTGATAATTAAAGAAAAGTTTTTAAATATCCACCCTAAAAAATACTTGACAAATGATCTTTAGGAAACATTTCACTTTTACTCAAGCTATGAAATTAAAGGGCTACAGAATTATTTTGAGTAAGCATTGTTTAGAAATTGATGATCATTTTTATTTTAAAGTCGATGTTACATGAAAGCTTTATGCGATAGTTGCTACCAGGACAAAAGATTCTATAGATACAAAGACACAAAAATCCTATAGTGGCTACAAAAATAAAATAGTTTGAGGAATAAGAAAAGCAGCATCCTAGTTAAATACACAACTCTTTACCAAGGGTGAGATTCTTTTTTTCTTAATCGTTTGACTACATCTTCAGTTATAGTTTCCTGTAATAGTAATTACTAATAAAATAGTAGTTAATACACAAAATCATGACAACTTAATCTAGCCTTAGATTTTATCGCAAAATGCAAACATAATCATATTTGCAAAGGCAAACAATGATAATAAAAAGATAACATAGTAACATTAGACTCTATACCTAGAAAAAAATTTTTTAAAAAATAGATAAAATAAGACATCAAAATGCAAAACCCAGGAGAAAACAGCCAATAATGCAAAATAGGAAACAAGGGGAGAATGAAAGGGGAGAATGAGTCTCCTTCTCTTTAACACAGATTAACAAACCCCTACTGTGCACCTGGCCTTGTGCTAAAATCCAGAGAAACAAATATTAATGAAGCACAATCTGAGTCTTCAAGGAGTTTATATCCACCAATTATTATGAAACAATATGATAACTGCCTTATTAGAGATATGCACAAAATGCCACTGGGACTCAAAAGAGAAACTTTGAAAGAGAGAGAAAGTCCCAACCCAGACAGTATGTGAAAGAGTATGGGGGACAGGGGGTAGGTCAGGAAAGGTTTCCCAACAACGACTCCTAAGCTAAGTCTCAAAAGAGGAAAGGAGATAGCTGGATGGAAAAGGCCAGAAAGGACAGCAGCAGTGACAGTGCAGAGCTGAAAAACAGCATTCTGGGCCTAGGGAAACAGGAGCAACCCAGTGTTGCTGGAGTTTGGAGGAGGAGGTGGGGCATGGAGTGGACTGGTTTGAGGTCTGCTAGGAAAGGTCTGAAACAGCCTGGATTCCATCTTTGGGTAATGGGAAGCCACTGGTGATTTCTATCAATCAATCAATCAATCAATCAATCAATCAGTGAATGGGTGAGTAACAGCTTTATTGATATAATTCACACACCATAAAATCTTAAAGTGTACAGAGTAGTGATTTTTAGTACATTCACAGTGTTGTGCAACTACCTCTACTATGATTTCAAAAAACGTTTATCCCCAAAAGAAACACCATACTCATTCACAAACTCTCCCCATTTCCCTTCACCTTCAGACCCTGGCAGCCACTAATCTACTTTCTGTTTCTATGAATTTGCATATTCTGGGCATTTCATATAAAAAGAATCATATAACATATGGTCTTTTGTGACCGGCTTCTTTTACTATCAGTTTTCAAGGTTCATTCATATTGTAGCATATAGCAGTATTTCATGCTTTTTTATGGCCAATAATATTATATTTTAGGGACATATCAAACTTTACTTGTCTATTCACTAGTGGATGGACCACTTTTTGCCACTATGAACATTTGTGTACAAGTTTTTGCGTGGACATATGTTTTCAATTTTCTTAGATGTGTACCTAGGTATCAGTGGTGATCTTTAGTCAGAAAAGGGATAATGATCATCCTGAGGTTTTATTTTTTTTTTAACGTTTATTTATTTTTGAGAGAGAGAGAGACAGAGCATGAACGGGGGAGGGGCAGAGAGAGAGGGAGACACAGAATCAGAAGCAGGGTCCAGGCTCTGAGCCGTCAGCCCAGAGCCCGACGCGGGGCTCGAACTCACGGACCACGAGATCGTGACCTGAGTTGAAGTCGGACGCTTAACCGACTGAGCCACCCAGGCGCCCCGTTTCTTTTTTTTTATTTTTTTTTTATTTATTTTTTTAATTTTTCATCCTGAGGTTTTAGATTGCTCTAGTGACTATGAGGAGTATGGGTTTAAGGTGGCAAGCTGGAAGCTGGGAGATGAGTTAAAGGTGTGGTATAAATAAGGAACAAATTTAAGCAATATTTAGGATATCAAAATCAGCAGTACTTGGTAGTAGATCAGTAAAACTGACTTAGTCACCACTCCGTAAACATGACCCAGATTTTCTTGCCTCTGACCCTTTGCTCATGTTGCAATGAATTATCTTTCCTCTCCATCTCTTTCCTACCAAAATCCTTCAAAGCCTAGTTAAGAGGTTGACCTCTGACCTCTTCAACCAGACATGTTTGTCCTCTTGTGTACATCTCAAAGCAATTTATCCGTGCCACTTAGCACTTTTCACAATTTGATCTTGTGTTTATTCATATATGTGTGCTTTATCTTTCCAACTGAGCAAGTACAGCAATGTATTAATCCCAATTAATAAGTTGCCTAATAAGATATTATAGAAAAAAAAATAGGCAGATCAGCTAAGGACTGGCTATGGCAATACACAGTCAATGTATACAGCTGTAAGTGGCAGATCAAAACCTTGGTGTTGACTCCAGAATTGCGATCTTTTTTCTCCACCTTCCCAGGACCGCAGAGCTCCATAAACAACCCTGATGCTTTGGGCTTACTAATTCTCCAACTCATGCCTATACTGTCTCCCAGGTAATTTTCCAAAGAAACAATTTCATAGTTCATCAACCACCTAATAAACCAATCATGCTGGACAGTCTTTCTCACTCCTATCTTTACATGCCTTTCCAACAATCCATGCCCCACTTTAGTAAAAACTGCTGCAGGGGCGCCTGGGTGGGACAGTCAGTTGAGCATCCGACTTCAGCTCAGGTCATGATCTCACAGTTTGTGAGTTCGAGCCCTGCATCAGGCTCTGTGCTGACAGCTCAGAGCCTGAAGCCTGCTTCCAATTCTGTGTCTCCTTCTCTCTCTGTCCCTCTCCCCCTCATGCTCTGTCTCTTTCTCTCAGATATAAATAAAACATTAAAAATAAATAAATAGATAAATAAATAAATAAAAACTGCTTCAGATTCTGTCTTCATTTTAGAATAACTTTTGGAATAGCTCTTAGTAATAGGAATGCCAGGCATGCGACAGGTGTTTTGGAGCCACTGAGGTTGGATGCTCTTTCAGGCCTTTAGTCTGGATTCCACCAACAAGGAAGACTACCAGAACTTCCCAAAATCCAGAGTGAAACAAGATCCTATTTAGTCTAGAATAACCACAATCTCCAAAAAAGAAAATAATTTCCCTTAATTTTTAGTTTGCTTTAAAATATTCTCTTGAAAAGATTTATTAAAGATACTTACAGGATGGTCTGCATCCAGTTCAGATCCATACATCAGAACTCTGTTGGCACAATGATCCAGGTCAGAAATCTTCTTTGGAAACCAAGGAACAGTTTCCATACCTGCAAAATACAAAACCACTGAATGTGGAATAGATGATCTTAAATAAGGCAAGAAGGAAGAAGAAATTAAGAAAGTCATGGATACATTTGGAGGAGATTTTTATTTTATTTTATTTTATTTTTTTTTTAACGTTTATTTATTTTTGAGACAGAGAGAGACAGAGCATGAACGGGGGAGGGTCAGAGAGAGGGAGACACAGAATCTGAAACAGGCTCCAGGCTCTGAGCTGTCAGCACACAGCCTGACGCGGGGCTTGAACTCACTGACCGCGAGATCATGACCTGAGCCGAAGTCGGCCGCTTAACCGACTGAGCCACCCAGGCGCCCCTGGAGAAGATTTTTAATTTTAGCTTGTACTTTGAGGCAAAATTTATACAAGTATATTGCTCTATCTCTTAATAAGTAAAGTTTATCCAAAATTTTTGAGTTTAAAACTTTTTTTGATTTCCTTGAGTTCCTAGGTGTTGGAGAAATGCTGTACTTTAGAAATAGACCTAAAGTACAAAAAAAAAAAAAAAAAAAAAAAAAAAAAAAAAAAAAAAAAAAAAAACTAAAACCCAGCTATCCTTAAAAAAGCAGAGTAAGGATGTACAACTTTGCAGACCAAAGGTACAAATTTAATAAGAATGAACGCTTATTTTTGTTGATGCAAAGGATCTTAGAGACCATTTATGTCTTTGCCACTCTGATCTCTCACCCTCCCTGAGACATACAGGCCCTCTGAGAACTCTGGGGTTTTTGCATATGCTATTCTCCTCCCTGGAATACCTATACCCCACCCCCACTTCCTCCTTCACCCCATCCTTCTGTTTTCCTGAAAATATCCTTCTCTTCCTTCAAGACTCAGATCTAATGAACCTCCCCTGACCTTGTAGGTTGAGCTATTTCTCTGTCCTCTGGGCTCCTGTGACACTGTTTCTGATTCTTTAAAACATTATCTGTTCATATCTGTGTCTTACAGGAAAGAATGGGAAGGACTCTAGGGGAGGGACTATGTATACCTGTATCCCTGTTTCTTAGTAGAGACATCTGACACAACTTGGTGTTCCCTAAACACCAACTGAACCATTTAGCCCCTAAAAAATTCTTCATTTTATAGATGAGGCAACCAAAGCTCAGAGATGAGAAGTAATTTATCCAAGGTAACTCATCTCTATTGGAAGAGAGAGGACTAGAATTCAATCCTTCTTGTTCTAGCCATTTAATGCTCTTTGTAACATACTCATAATTGATAGTCAGATTTAACCCCGAATACCACAGGGGCACCAGTCCTAGGCTCCTGCTCTGCCAGATGTTAATCCTTTGTTTGTTTGTGGTGGGCCTGGGACACCTAAGATAGCATCTGGAGCACAGGGACTTTGGGCATGGTGGGGACACTCAAGGGATTTGGGGAAGCAGCTATCTGCCACTTAGAAATGGAAGCATATTAGTATTTTAATAACTTACACAGCCATGCAAATGCATAACAGATCGGCATCAGTCCTGATTATACCCTAATGTCGTGCATAATCTAAAGAGACTATTTTAAATTGAGTAACATATATATAATGTGGTTGGATTATCCTTTTGTCTTTTGTCCCAAGTAAACTATGAGGATTTTTTTTTCACAACAGAAGATCTTAGCCATCTGAAACCTTAGAAGGCTGTGTTGCTTTTCACTTGCTTTTGGTGGAAATGGAGACAGGAAGGAGTATGTAAAGAGTGTATTCATACCATAATCATCAGCAATTGTCAACATTCTCAACAAATTTGAACATTCACTTAATATCTGCCAGATGGTAGGCCCTGTGGGAGTCTCTAAGGGCTCGGGGATTGTAAATTGAAGGTTTGTGAAATCAAGAAATGTTTGATGATTTGGAAACTGAGAAAACTTAATCAATTTCTAACTATTCTGAATTCTTTCTTGCACCCAACGTTTCCTTTTCATGTTCCTTCACACTTGATAAAAATGTTGCTTTATAATTGTTCTGTAGTATTTCAAGCAATTACATTTGGGGTTTCCTTCACTACTAGACTGTAAGAAATTTGAGGAGACAGTGTTTTATCTTTATTTTCATGCCTCCAAGATAAATACAAGATTGGACACACATGATGTACTTAATCTTCTCAGCGGGATTTTCACTTTTCGAACTTACCATCTTCTTTCACAGTAAAATTATCTGGTGGATTCACAGAGAGAACGTTAGTGTAGGACTTCAACAGATGAAAAATATCATTCAATTGTTCTCTGTTGATATCACAGTCAATAAATATCTCAAATTCTGAGTTTCTTCTCTTCGATTTTCGGGACTCAATATGTAACAGGCTCACATGTTTCTCCTGTGTAAAGCAGAGAGTGAAGATACATATGACAGCCTCAAATGGTATTAGTCACTGAACTCGTCACATTCATTACCACTAAAAATCAATTCCACACTCACCATAATATCAAAGGAGAAAGAGGCTGTTTTTGATGCAACAAGCAAAGTAATTCCCCCTAATTAGGTACTGTTCAAAAAAGTTTGAAAAATTAATCACCCACTAGAAAGTCCGTCGAATTGCCAGAAATGAATGGCCTTCAAACCAAAATATCAAACCTGTGAGCACTGGTGGTTCAGTGGTAGAATTCTCAAACCTCCTAGATAAAAAGAACTTTTCAGGGGCGCCTGGGTGGTGCAGTCGGTTAAGTGTCCGACTTCAGCCAGGTCACGATCTCGCGGTCCGTGAGTTCGAGCCCTGCGTCAGGCTCTGGGCTGATGGCTCAGAGCCTGGAGCCTGTTTCCGATTCTGTGTCTCCCTCTCTCTCTGCCCCTCCCCCGTTCATGCTCTGTCTCTCTCTGTCCCAAAAATAAATAAAAACGTTGAAAAAAAAATTTTTTTTAAAAAGAACTTTTCAAAGATTCTCACAAATAAAAGCTAGTTTTCAAAAAGGGATATTAATGTTAGTCCTTTAGAAAGAAAAGTTTCCTTTGCGAATATGCATTTAATAAAATTAGCTGAACAGCTTGAACAGAGTATTTAATACCTCAAATCTCTTAAGCTACAAACTTAGTAACCAGCTGAAGCAGATTGCTTCTTCTGCTCTCTCCCCATGCCAGCCTGAGCTGGGTGCCATATGTGCAAGCCTGTGGGAGGAGGATATCTTCTCTTACCAATTTGGATAGCTGAGGACCAGCCCTGGTGACATAATAATGAAACATAAGAACCAATTACCCAACAGTTTTTCCATCAAAAACAAACAAACAAAAAAAAATTACAAGGTTGGAATAGCTAATCTCCAACACTAACAGTTCAATTTGAATTAACTTGGTGAACACCTACGTAGCCAGGTAAGGGCTGTGAAGCATACAAAGAAAGGTAAGATATGCAAGGAGTTTATAATCTGGTAAGCTAACACATGAAAGACTAAAAGAAATAGAAGTAATAAGTATTTGGGTGCAGAGATGTCCTGGGAAAAAGCATTATGGGCTGGAGGAAGTAGAAGTTTCCATGGAGCAGATAGGAACTGAAATGAGTCTTAAGAAATAGATAGAGTGGGAAGACAGAAAAGAAGAAGGGGGATTCAGAACAGGAGGAACTGCATATGTAAAGGTAGGGATGAAGTAAGAACTATTAGGAACATGAACTGACAAGAAAAAAAGAGTATCAGGGATATTGGAAAATTGGAATGGGCAAGGTTTATCCTGGAATATAGACTTTATCATGGAATCAATGGAAGAAAGCCAGTTACAAAATATACTGGAGTTGATCAGAGGTACAGGAGAGTTTCTGACATTGGCTGTAGCAACATGGAGGAAATTGCATTCCACTATTGGTGGGAATGCAAACTGGTGCAGCCACTTGCCACAGTATGAGGTTCCTCAAAAAGTTAAAAACAGAACTACCCTATAATCCAGTAATGACACTACTGGGTATTTACACAAAAAGATACAAAAACAATAATTAGAAGGGATACATGCACCCTTATGTTTATAGGGGCATTATTTATAATAGCTAAATTATGGAGGAGCCCAAGTATCCATCAATTAAAAAATGGATAAAGAAGATGTTGTGTGTGTATGTATACACACACACACATAAATATATGTATACATATACATATATGTGTGTGTGTGTGTGTGTATATATATATATATGCACATATACAATGGAATTTTATTCTACCATAAAAAAGAATGAAATCTTGTCATTTGCAATGACGTGGATGGAGCTACAGAGTATAATGCTAAGTGAAATAAGTCAGTCAGAGAAAGACAAATACAATATGACTTCACTCATATGTGGAATTTAAGAAACAAAACAAATGAGCAAAGGAAAAAAAAGAGAGAGAAACAAACCAAGAAACAGATTCTTAACTACAGAGAACAAACTGACAGGTACCAGAGGGGAGCTGGGTTGAGGGGAAGTGGGTGGGGGGATGGGTGAAATAGGTGATGGGGATTAAGGAGTGCACTTGGCGTGTTGAGCACTAGTTTATGTATGGAAGCTTTCAATCACTATATTGCATACCTGATACTAATGTAACACTGTATGTTTTTTTTTAAATATGAAATGTATTGTCAAATTGGTTTCCATACAACACCCAGTGCTCATCCCAACAGGTGCCCTCCTCAATGCCCATCACCCACTTTCACCTCCCTCCCACCCCCCATCAACCCTCAGTTTATTCTCAGTTTTTAAGAGTCTCTTATGATTTGGCTCCCTCCCTCTCTAACCTTTTTTTTTTCTTTCCCCATGGTCCTCTGTTACGTTTCTCAGGATCCACATAAGAGTAAAAACATATGGTATCTATCTTTCTCTGTATGACTTATGTCACTTAGCATAACACTCTCCAGTTCCATCCACGTTGCTACAAAAGACCATATTTCATTCTTTCTCATTGCCACGTAGTATTCCATTGTGTATATAAACCACAATTTCTTTATCCATTCATCAGTTGATGGACATTTAGGCTCTTTCCACCATTTGGCTATTGTTGAGAGTGCTGCTATAAACATTGGGGTACAAGTGCCCCTAGGCATCAGCACTCCTGTATCCCTTGGGTAAATTCTTAGCAGTGCTATTGCTGGGTCATAGGGTAGATCTATTTTTAACTTTTTGAGGAACCTCCACCCTGTTTTCCAGAGTGGCTGCACCAGTTTGCATTCCCACCAACAGTGCAAGAGGGTTCCCGTTTCTCCACATCCTCTCCAGCATCTGTAGTCTCCTGATTTGTTCAGTTTAGCCACTCTGACTGGCGTGAGGTGGTATCTGAGTATAACACTGTATGTTAACTACACTGGAATTAAAACTTTTTTAGAAAGAAGTAAAGGAGGGTTTAATCCATTTCTTATTAATTTTCATAATAAGAATGCATTTATTAATTTTTATAATAAGAATGCACTCATAAATATTTTTTTTAAGTAGGCTCCACTCCCAGTGTGGAGCCCAACATGAGGCTTGAACCCACAACTCTGAGATCAAGACCTGAGCTGAGATCAAGAGTCAGATGCTCAACTGACTGAGCCACCCAGGGACCCCGATAAATATTTTCTGAGTGATGACATGAATAAATACAAAGCTAAATTATGTTTTTTTGAGACAAAGAAGCAATAAGTCATTTCCTCCTGAATTACTCTATAAATTGAACACTATCAAAATCAAAATTTTGATGGAATTTGGTGAGGAAATATAACTAAATAATTTAAAATTATTATTTTCCATCTGCAAGAAAAATTTAGTCAGGAAGATCCAGGAAATTTTATATAAAGTAGAAGTAATAAGTGAGACATTCCCTGTCATGTATTTCAATTATAGAAACAGAGGCACAGAGAAGTTAAGCAGTTTGCCCAAAGACACACAGCTAATAAGTGTCAGAACTGGAATTCAAACTTTCCATGCTTTTATTTATTTATTTATTTATTTATTTATTTATTTAAATTTAACGTTTACTTATTTTTGAGACAGAGAGAGACAGAGCATGAACGGGGGAGAGGCAGAGAGAGAGGGAGACACAGAATCGGAAGCAGGCTCCAGGCTCTGAGCCATCAGCCCAGAGCCCGATGCGGGGCTCGAACTCACGGACCGCGAGATCGTGACCTGAGCTGAAGTCGGACGCTTAACCGACTGAGCCACCCAGGCGCCCCAAACTTTCCATGCTTTTAAACACTAAATTGTAATCCTGTTTACCAAAAAGGAAGTCAAAATAATGGATAATATGGCCTTCTTTGAGCAGGACTTATATAATTTTAATATTGAAAACATTAAAAATTGGCATAGCCAAAAACTGGGACATGACTGCATTGGGAAGATTCAGGGGAAGGAAAGTTGAGGGCGCCACTGGAAAGGGAGCTGTGTCAAAAAAGCTAAGTCTTTATTTCCATTGCAAGAAATCGGTAGGTAATATCTACGAGTGAAAAAAATCAAGAAATAGCAGAATGAGCATATTGTTTATGAACATGGAAGTAGGGGTGCCTGGCCGCTCTGTCGGTAAAGCATGCGACTCTCTATCTCCGGGTTGTAAGTTTGAGCCCCATCTTGGGTGTAGAGATTGCCTAAAAATAAAATCTTTCAAAAAACAAGAAACAAAACAAGCAAAAAAACCCATAGAAGTAAGCACTAGAAAAGACAGTCAAAAGAGCTTCAAATAGTTGCCTCCTGCAGGCTGAAGATGAGTAGAATGAGTGCACCCTGGAAATGATGCCACAGTTAGAAGAACAAAGGAAATGGATACATGGGTAGTGCTGACTGAAAGAAAAAGTGTATCATACAGTTACAAATGTAAATTACTAAGACACGCACAAAAAACTCCACATATTGTAAAGTGCACATGAAAATAACTCAGTGTACAGATCAAACATATCAGAGCAGTTGTGTATCAGGCGGGAGAAATGGAGATCGAATGGAACAATAAAATAAAACAGGAGGAGGGTGGGGCTCCTGTGTGGCTCAGTCGGTTGAATGACTTCCGCCCAGGTCATGATCCCACACTTTGTGGGTTCGCGTCCCGCGTCAGGCTCTGTGCTGACAGGCTCAGAGCCTGGAACCTGCTTTGGATTCTGTGTCTGATTCTCTCTCTGCCCCTCCCCCGCTCTCTCTAGCTCCCCAAAATAAATAAACGTTAAAAAAAATTTTTTTTTTTTTAAATAGGAGGAGGGGCGCCTGGGTGGCTCGGTCAGTTGAGCGTCTGACTTCGGCTCAGGTCATGATCTCACAGTCCGTGAGTTCGAGCCCCGCGTCGGGCTCTGTGCTGGCTGCTCAGAGCCTGGAGCCTGTTTCAGATTCTGTGTCTCCCTCTCTCTCTGCCCCTCCCCTGTTCATGCTCTATCTCTCTCTGTCTCAAAAATAAATAAACGTTAAAAAAAATAAAATAAAAAATAAAAAATAGGAGGAGGCTAGCACTATATGCTAACTAATTTGGATGTAAATTTTTAAAAATTAAAAAAAAAACAGGAGGAGGCTGTATAAGTCGATGATGATCGTTTACAGGTGATCTAAGATATATGATTAAGTCAACCCTCCGCCCTAAGGTTAACAAAATAAATTAAACTTACCTTAAAAATGAAAAGACATGAAGCAGAAGACTACTATTTTCTTTATAAGCTTTATGGTGTGGGTTCACTTTTTAAACCATGCACACACATTCTTTGATTAAAAATAAAATAAAAAAGACAGTGGGTAGAAGAAGAAATAAAGGTATGTTATTTAAAAACTCAAAGGTAATCAATAAAGAAATTAAAATAATCATGTAATTATCAAATTTAGGGAGAAGGAAGAGGAAGAAGTGATGGTTATCGGCATCATTCACAAGAGAGAATAAATGAATATCATGTAAAGTTGATAACTCCAAGAGAGAGATCAAAACAATATTTAGATATCACAAATTCGGCATCAAAGGAATTAAACACCAGAAATAGTTGAAAGTGGTTGCCTCTAGGGAATGGGACTAGGATATGTTTGGTGTATTGAGTAGAAAAACATGCTTTTCATTGCAAACTCTTCTAGACTACTGGTCTCTATGTAAAATGTTTAATTCTTTGAAGTATTATTTTCACATGGCTATAAAATAGCATGTCATATGATATAAACTTGATTTTTAAAAGAGCTAACATCTGCTCTTTACATATGTTAACTCTGTTATTTCTCACGATGACCCTATGAGGGAGGCAGGGTTCTCACTTTATAGATGCAAAGACTGAAGCACAGAGAGACCAATTGATTTTTCCATGGTCACCCAGCCAATAAGTGACAGAGCAAGGATTTGAACTCAGGTGGTCTGCCTCCAGAGCGTAAGAGTTTAATGCCAGTGAAGTTCTATTAGCATAATTTAACCTGCTCCCTCCCCTTGAACAAGTACTTTGTTTATAATTTTAGTTCTTATAAATAAGTCTTTGTGTCCCTAAGCCCATAAACCAGGTTAGGTCCCCCAGTTCAATGCTATCATAGTACTATCTGGTATTTCTTTTAGGTCACTTTATACACATGTAACTATTTATTTACTATCATTATTTGTTTATTTTCTGTCTTTCTCCCTAGATTATATACACTGTGAGGGGAGGTACTGTGTCTACTCTGTTCAGGTCTACATCCTTAGATTCTAGCAGGGCACTTGGCACACAGTAAGTACTCAGTAAATATTCATGTTCTGCCTGACCCCTATTTCCTTAGGATGGGTTTATCGAAATGAAATTACTGGATCAAAATATGTGAACTTTTTTTTTTTTTTTTTTGAGAGAGAGAGAGAGGGAGGGAGAGAATACAAGCAAGTGAGGAAGGGGCAGAAGGAGACAGAAAATCCCAAGCAGGCTCCATATCCAGTGCCGAGCCCAACCCCATGGGGCTTGATCTCAAGACCGTGAGATCATGACCTGAGCCCAAATCAAGAGTCGGACAGTTAGTTACCCAGGTGCCTCAAAATACAAGAACATTTTAAGGCATTACCTATTGTTCCGCCTATTGTTTCCCTAAGCATTATACTAAGTTACCCTCATACCAAAGGTGTATTTAAGTCCCAAATGCATTAAAGCTTTGACAGTAGGGAACAGTATAACTGTAGAATCTTTGTTATTTTGCTATCTTAAAAATATCATTAAATATATTATGAATATGTCATTAAATATTAAATTTTAATATTTTATTTAATTAAAATAAAATTAAAATTTGCTTCTCTGAAATCCGTGAAGTGACTCTTTCCTCCCAGCTCCTTTATTAGTTATTTGTATCTTCTCTTCCATAAATGAGAATTGAGCAGTATTTTAGAAATTTAAGTGCTTAAGAAGAATTTACAATAATTTACACTTTAAATGTAATTCTGGAGACTCCTTTTAGAAGGATTTTATGCGAAAGTATAAAAATATGGAGAGCGCTTACCTGGAAGATTTTCAGTGCTTTTATTAGTCCACCAACTTCATTCTTCAAGGAAAAAATGAGAGTCGCCCTTCCTCTTTCTAGGGAATGGTCTTTATTTTCCTTATTGTCTTCAATCATGATGAGTTTGGTGTACTTCTCTAAAAACAAAGTATGAAAATAGAGAGGTCTAAAAAAGAAGTTGTGCAAGAGAGGCTGTATTTGACAATATTTGAAACCAAAGACAATACTTGATAACATTAACCAAGTTTTAGTTTCCTCACCTGTGAAACATGGATTTGTAGATATGCTTTGCAAGACTGTAATGAGACCAACATAAGATAAAACATTGCTAACAGTGCCTGGAATATAATAGGCATACAATGCATGTTAGTAGTTTCCTTTTCTTTTTTTCTAACTCAATCCTTTCAGGGCATGATTCATGCCTACTGGCTTCTTACAGTCTTCCTACTGTGCCTGAACTGGCCACTCTTTCTCTGTTAAAGCCTACCTCCTCTCCCGCAACAATTTCAGCACTTTATTTATTTATACTGGGTCTTAAATTCAAGTTTTATTCGCACATGTCTTGTCTTTTTTTTTTTTTTTAATTTTCTTTATTTTACATCCAAATTAGCATATAGTGCAACAATGATTTCAGGAGTAGATTCCTTAGTGCCCCTTACCCATTTAGCCCATCCCCCTCCCACAACCCCTCCAGTAACCCTGTTTGTTCTCCATATTTAACAGTCTCTTATGTTTCATCCCCCTCCCTGTTTTTATATTATTTTTGCTTCCCTTCTCTTGTGTTCATCTGTTTTGTCTCTTAAAGTCCTCATATGAGTGAAGTCATATGATTTTTGTCTTTCTCTAATTTCACTTAGCATAATACCCTCTAGTTCCATCCATGTAGTTGCAAATGGCAAGATTTCATTCTTCTTGATTGCCGAGTAATACTCCATTGTATATATATACCACAACTTCTTTACCCATCCATCGATGGACATTTCGGCTCTTTCCATACTTTTGACTATTGTTGATAGTGCTGCTATAAACATTGGGGTGCATGTGTCCCTTCAAAACAGCACACCTGAATCCCCTGGATAAATGCCTAGTAGTGCAATTGCTGGGTCGTGGGGTAGTTCTACTTTTAGTTTTTTGAGGAACCTCCATACTGTTTTCCAGAGTGGCTGCACCAGCTTGCATTCCCATCGTCTTGTCTTTTAACAGGGCAGCAAGCCCCTTAGAACAAGGACAAGGCCTTCTATTTTTTTCCATAAATTCAAGAGCCTGGGCAGCTCTGGATACATGGGGGCTACAAGAATAACAGCTAGCCAAGAGAATTCTGGTTCCACATTAAGTATCTTCTTTCTTCTCCGACTTGGAATCCCCCAAGCTGTGGGCCCTGAAAGGCCATTTAGCCTATTAGCCTACAAGAGCTATGTGACTATAAATCCAACTCGGTGTATGTGTGTTGGGGGAGGTAAAGATATTGTGGGCATGAAAGTGGAGTATAATAACTTTCACCTGAAAAATAAGATCGGGATTAATAAATGGAAACAGTATATGGAGTATTTATTCTTATTAGTTTTCTTATTAATTCTTCCTAATTGCCCAGTTTTGTGTTGCAGTTCTAGTGGAATTAACTTTTAACAACTTAGATGGATGTGACCAATTCCACTGCCTTTTAGCTGCTCACACTCATGGATCCAAGTCTGAAGCAGTACCACCCAGAACAGGTATAGAATGATGCTGTGGCTTGAAGTCACATAGACTGTGTCAAATTCCCCACAGCTCAAACTTCATTAACTCATGGAAGCCTTCCCTGATCTCCCCAAGTCCATTCCCCTCAGAGTTCAAGATTGCCACAACATATACCTCCTGTTTATAGCAATGGTCACAGATGCAGTTGTAGCTCGGTTTCAGTGAGTATTTGGTTATGTTCAGAAACATAGAAGGTAGTATAAAATTCCTGGCATCTAGTTGAGAGCTGTCTTCTCAGAAGATGAACTAGAGATCTACCTTGGCATCTTCTTGAGCACCTATTTACATTGCTAAATAGTGTACAGAAATATTTGGAAGGTGAAGTCAGACATATCTATTCATTGGTCTGATATTTATCAGTATATGACCTTAGGCATGTTATTTAACCTTTTTTTAAATTATTTTTTAATGTTTATTTATTTTTGAGAGAGAGAGACAGAGTGCAAACAGGGGAGGGGCAGAGAGGGAGGGAGACACAGAATCCGAAGCAGGCTCCAGGCTCTGAGCTGTCAGCACAGAGCCTGACATGGGGCTAGAACCCACAAGCCATGAGACGGTGAGATCATGACCTGAGCTGAAGTTGGATGGTTAACCGACTGAGCCAACCAGGCGCCTCTTAACCTTTCTAATACAGCAAAATTACTAAACAGTTCACTGGAACTCAAAAACCCGGTACTCTCTCACCCATTTTAAAACACAAAATGTGGCTTGGCATCCTGATGTTTTCCCCACAGAAGAAAGAAACTAGGCTACTTAGGGCACCAAGAAAAGACTGAGATATATAATTCAACATTTAACAAATACTTATTTATTCATTGGATTTAAAATCAAAACTGCTGGGGCGCCTGGGTGGCGCAGTCGGTTAAGCGTCCGACTTCAGCCAGGTCACGATCTCGCGGTCCGTGAGTTCGAGCCCCGCATCAGGCTCTGGGCTGATGGCTCAGAGCCTGGAGCCTGTTTCCGATTCTGTGTCTCCCTCTCTCTCTGCCCCTCCCCCGTTCATGCTCTGTCTCTCTCTGTCCCAAAATAAACGTTTGAAAAAAAAAATTAAAAAAAAAAAATCAAATCAAAACTGCTTAAATATTTTTTTAAAAATTTTTAATGTTTATTTATTTTTGAGAGACAGAGAGACAGAGTGTGAGCAGGAGAGGGGCAGAGAGAGAGGGAGACACAGAATCTGAAGCAGGCTCCAGGCTCTGAGCTGTCAGCACAGAGCCCGATGCAGGGCTCGAACCCATGAATGGTGAGATCATAACCTGAGCTGAAGACAGTCGCTCAACCGACTGAGTCACCCTGGCACCCCTAAATGTTTTTAATTGTGTCAATTTATTCTCTATAACTAAAACAATCTCTATGTCAAATACTTTAAAACCAAACACTCCGGTTAAATTTAATAATAATCTGGATTGTTCTGTAGCTCAACTGTTTACTAATGGTAAATGAAATTTCAACTTGGGTGCATTCAAGTGTATGAAGTATCATAGTGTTAAGGAAGTAAAGATTAAAAAATAAGACAACTTGCCTCCAAAGAATTCACAGACTTATGTATGCGGGGTGGGGGAAGGAGAGGCAGACCTCCCAATAAGTACAAATAAGCAGAAGAGAATGGTACCCTGAGATCCAGCTATGATATCTGAGGAGCACATCACCCCCTCATTTCCCCCATGCCATGACCAATATCCTAAAGATAATTGGAGATGGCTTCTGGCCCATCCATAAGTCTGATCAGAAAGGACTGATGGATGAGAAACAAGAGATCCTAAGAGAGACTTACGGCTTCAAAGAAACTGACCCTTTGGTGAACTTTAAGTATACACAGGAAAGTCTGAACTGGTGGCTCTGGGCTAAAAATTCAGGGATGCATTCTCACACTGCTTTTAGAGATGTGAAAATCTTTGGAAACATTCTTATCTAACTGTCATTCTTTTTGTTCCACCCAGAGCATGGGTGATTTTGTCCTATCATATGCAGATACAAACAATAAGACAGAAATAAAACCAGATAGCAAATTGCTAGCAATAAATTCATCTACAAATTTATCTAGACAAGTGCATTTCCTTATTTCTATGTGCATCAGTTTCCTTATTTACAAAATTGGAGGGAGGATAATTGATATCAATCTCATGTTATAAGGAGGAGTAAATATATATATAATGTATAAAACTGTTAGAACAGTTAACCTACACCAAGTACTCAATAAATATTAGTTCTACCAATGGGAAGTGCATCCCAAATTTCCCCATCTTCCAAAAAAGATAAAATGTTAAATGTAATAAAATTGACATTCTAAACTACCTTAGCTAAGAATTTTTCTTGCTCTGGGCATTAAGCATTTTACAAAAGGGTAAAGGTTGTTTTGCAACATAAAATTTAAGTATTCTTTTGTCTTGAGGTGATTTTCAGTTTCATTAGTTCTTTTATTATGAAACTCCAAATCACAAATGAAGAATTTAGCAATTCTTTTGCAAACAAACAGATGAAGACTCCGGTCAGCCTCTGTTTGCTAAGTCCCCATTTTCCTTGATATTGTCACCAAGACATGCTTAAGGAAGAGGATTCTGCAAATATAAGCTACTTCCTAGACCACCACCATGTTCATAATGAAAGCAAATTTAACAACTGGGAGCAAGGATCAGAGAACAGCAAAGAAAGGTGATTTTTGCCAGTCAGTGGGAAAACTGACAGAATTTCAGATAGCCTGACAGTTCACCCTTCAATGATCTCTTAGAGATTAGAATACAACTCTTCATATAAAACTATATAAAGATTTCCTTTCACATTTCAAAACCAATCCTTAAGTTCCTCGGGGAACCACTGTAAAAAGGCACTAACACTCATGGTTGATCTCACTCCATCTTTTTGGTATTCATAATTCTCTCTTTTTTCCCTGGCTCTGGAATGGATCTAGTTTTGCTACCAATATCTCTTTAGTGGGTTGGGGCAGAGAAGGGTGAAGGATACATTAGTTGAATATTTATCATGTACAAGGCATTTTATGTTGAGATTTTGAAACATTCCTATCCCTCTTGTTTAAGTCAATATAAGAATGAAGTTTCTTGGGGCGCCTGGGTGGCGCAGTCGGTTAAGCGTCCGACTTCAGCCAGGTCACGATCTCACGGTCCGTGAGTTTGAGCCCCGCATCAGGCTCTGGGCTGATGGCTCAGAGCCTGGAGCCTGTTTCCGATTCTGTGTCTCCCCCTCTCTCTGCCCCTCCCCCGTTCATGCTCTGTCTCTCTCTGTCCCAAAAATAAATAAAAAACGTTGAAAAAAAAAAAAGAATGAAGTTTCTCAAAAGGAACTTTTGCTACGAAACTAGAAGAAAACAATTCTCACTCACTGCCCTATTGCCACCCTCCACCCACCACCAGATCCCCCCAAATAAGCTTACAGAGCACAGGGGTTTGATCTCCACTGAAAGTTGGCCATAATGTTGCCTGGTTGAGCTTATGAAGCATAAGTTCTTTTTTCCTTTATTCAATTACCCCCAAAGCCTTTTCAGAACCTCAAAATTTTCTCTTGTCACTTTTTTTTCCCCCCCCCCCCCCCCCCTTCAACATGCCTATACCTTCCTACTCCTTCAGAAGGAAAAACCACAGCACAGACTGGTAAGATAAAAGCTATCGAGTGTCCAAGAGGTCACACTTGTTTAAACCCGTATCTCATCAAGACAAGTATAGATTTTATTTTTAAAGTAACACTCTAATGAGCCAATGCCAACTGGTATTTTCCCTTTTGAGTCATTCTCCTGCTGCATTTCCTGGCTTGACTGAAGATGCACTGGTGCGGAGGATATACACATATTATGTATATACATACACATATTATGTATATACATAATATACATATATTCCCATTGGAAATATGGAGGACATCCCAAGAAGGAGGTCAGAAGATCAACAGTCTCTTTAAAGAGTAGAGGTCAAAGTGTTTACATTGACTAACTCTTCTCTCCCCTCAGTTTAATCAGTAACAAGTATAATTTAAATTTATCTGATCTAATATTCATAAAGAACTATCAAATTAAAATATTTGGAAGCACAGATGCTGTTTGAAGACAGAATTAAATGGTGTGGGAAGGACTGGTATGGAGGGAGAGAATCTTCCAGAGAATCTTGATTTTCTTTTCTGACTGGGGGAAGGGAATAAAAATGAAAGTAGAAATGAAATACAAAAGAAAACAGTGTCCATGAAAAGCATTTTTCTAGGGAATACAGGCACTGGCAAAGAAAATGGAAATAGAAGCCACATCCTTATCTGAAGATAACCTAATATGATAACAACATGTATACAAGTGAACTTCAGCGCTGAAATTCATAAACCACAGATTATGGCTTCACGGAAACACTTGTAGTTACTTTAAGCTGTGCTCGCATCTCCTTTTAAAGCAAATAAATGAATTCCATTCTTCTTTAATAATTAATTGACAGGCACAAACTTTTACTGGACCAGAAAGTTTAACTCTAGTTTCCCACCCCACCCCTCAAGCCAACTAGACTAGAACATCAGTTGGGAATTAATTTTAAACCACTGAAACCAAACGGTCAGAGGCAAGGTTAAGCTTACCTGTAGAATCTGAACCACTAGCACTGTTTGTCAGTTGTAACTTTGTACCAAAGCTCTTAGTACTGTGTTAGGGTGCCGGTGATAAAGATGGATGTGAGGCTGAGAGGCTTTGCAGCTGAAATACTCTTTCCTTTGGAAATGTCTAAGGGATGGTTCCCTTTTTTGTTTTTAATGTGTGTTTATTATTGAGAGAGAGCACAAGGAGGGAGGGGCAGAAAGAGAGAGAGAGAGAGAGAGAGGGAGAGGGAGAGGGAGAGGGAGAGGGAGAGAGAGAGAGAGAGAGAGAGAGAGAGAGAGAATCCCAAGCAGGCTCCGTGCTTGTCCACACAGAGCCCAAATTGGGGCCCAAACCCACCAACCATGAGATCATGCCCTGAGCCGAAATCAAGAGCCAGATGCCTAACCCACTAAGTCACCCAGGCGCCCCTAAGGGATGGTTCCTTTAATGAAAGAAGGAAGAAAGAGATGTTGCTATTTGAGAAGGAAAGGAAGAAGAATGCATTTGTTTTTGCTAACATAAAGGAGTCATACATACAGACTTCAGTTCAACTGTGAACTTGCTGAGAAATGTAAAATGCAAGAAATACCCACCTCACAAGATTTGTTGTGAAGGTGAAATAAGATGATGTGTAAAGAGCCTGTTCTTGGCACACAGCAGGCCCTCAAAAATTGTGTCTTTTCTCCCCAAAGAGGGTAGAAGGAAAGGAGAAAAGTCGTCACAGGGGTACAACTCCGACTCCCCAGATCCAGATTCCCACGAGTAGTTACCTCCTGGGGGAGTGACCCTGCCTCTGCCCCGTGCCGGCCCAGCGTCCCCAGATCTGCGACGGTGGTACCAGATCCCCGCCAGTAGGAGCCTCCCCACTCACCTGTGGTGCTGCCGCCGGCGATAAGCTGGTGCTGCCGGCGGACCAGGGCTGCCCGCCTCTTATAGTAAACGGGATTCGGAGCGGGCCAATGAACGCCCGAGGCAGCGGACAGTGGCCAATGAGAAGGCCGTTAGCCTGCCGGGCTGGAGAGAGTTGGCCGAGAGCTGACCCCTGCTCGGTGGGGACCGTCCCTGCCAGCCTGTGCAGAGATTCGCGCGCCTTAGCCTTTAGGTACAACGGACTGGTGTTTTAATTAAGCTAATGCCAGGCCATCCTTAACTACATAAGTCTAACATTAAAGAATCCGGAGTTGGAAGTTCCCTCCAAACCAAGATGACGTCTATTTTCAACATAATGACCTCCTTCCTATAGGCTTGCCTGCTTCTCCAGATTGGCACCAAAGCAGGTGCCTCCCACGTGCCTCTGTGCTTCTAGGTTATTTCATCACCATTCTTTTGGTGCTTTCCCTTATTCCTTGAGGCAGAGCAATTGTTGAACTTTTTAGAAGGGAAATGCTCATTACTCTTCCAATTAAAATTTAAAGCTTCAGGCAGATGAGCATGCTATATTAGTAGAAACAAATATGTGAACAACATGGCACAGAAACCAAAAATTTGGACGAAGTTATTTACTGGTTGCGTGCTCAGTCTAGGGACTGAGGACTATAGTTGTAGGACATTTTTCTTCAATTTTTTTAAAGTCAAGTTTATTTTTTTAAGTTTATTTATTCAGAGAGAGAGAGACAGTGCGTGCAGGGGAGGGACAGAGAGAGAGGGAGAGGACAGAGTCCCAAGCAGACTCTGCTAAGAGCACGGAGCCGGAAGGACTCTGTCCTGCAAACTGAGATCATGTCAAGTCAAGTTTATTGCTGTATAATTTACACACAGTAAAATTCACCCTTTTGAGATGTACAGTTCTGTGAGTTTTGACAAACATATACAGTTGTGCGACTACCAATCAAAATATACAATATTTCCATCACCTCAAAAAAGTTCCCTTGTCTTAATCCTTCATCTATCTTCAAAGCAAGCAATGTGGCATCTTTAAATCTCTGACTGGCCTGCCTATCACTTGTAAGGACCTTTCTAATTACTTTGTGGCTACTCAGATAATCCAGGATAATCTTTCCATCTCAAAATCCTTAATTTAATCACATCTGCAAAGTCGCTTTTGCCATGTAAAATAACATATTCACAGGTTCCAAAGATTAGGATGTGGACATATCTGTACCAAAATTAGAAGATGGGAAAGGGTCTTTCTCCTTATGTTTGTACTATTCTATTTCTGTGGAAATCTATAGCAGGGAGTTTTCTGATCCTGAGATGTGCCTTTTGAGATATAGAAAGTACTGGTGCCATGGATGGTAATGAAGAAACACCTCATTGCACTTCCTGGATCTTCAGCAGAACCTATCTGAGACAGGACACATCCCAACTCCACTTCTCATTTGCTAAGCTGACTTGGTGGTATGTTTGGATTGCCCCCCCCCCCCTTGATCTTTGCCAGCTCCTTCTCCTCTTCCCTCCAGATACCCATGGTTCTTCTGAGCAAAGATCTAAGGCCCTCTTCTCCTCACAGTCTATACACTTTTCCTTGCCAATGTCATCTTCTCTTGTGTCTTTAAGTGCCCTTGGTAAGCCAACAATTCCAAAATATATATTCAAAGCCCAAATCTTCCTTCTGAACTCCAGATCCTCTATGTCCAATAGCTTATTTTATATCTCCACTTCTGTAACACACTGGCATCTTAACATATCCAAAAGAGACCCTGGGAAAGTAACAAGTGTTGGTGAGGATGTGGAGAGATCTGAACCATTGCACACTGCTGGTGGGAGTATAAAATGACTCAGCCATTGCAGAAAACAGTTGGTGGTTACTCAAAAAGTTAAACAAAGAATTAACATATGACCTGGTAATTCTACACCAAGGTATACACCCAAAAGAACTGAAAACAGATTCTTAGACAAATCCTTATACACAAATGTTCACAGCAGCATTCATCACAATAGCCGAAAGGTAGAAACAAATGTCCATCCAAATGCCCATCAGTGGATAAATGGATAAACAAACTGTGGTATATACATACAATGAAATACTATTCAGTGATTAAAAAAAAAAAACAAAAAACAGCGACGTACTCATACATGCTACAACCTGGATGAACCTGGAAAATGTTACACTACCTGAAAGAAGCTAGACACAAAATGCCACATATTGTATGATTCGATTTATAGGAAATATCCAGAATAGGTAAATCCAGAGAAACAGATACAGTGTGGTGGCTGCCAAGGGTGGGGAGGAGGAGCTAAGGAGTAAGTATTTAATGGGTATAGGGTTTTCTTTTGGAATGATCTGATTCCAAATATTTTGGAAGTAGACAGAGTTAGTGGTTACACAAAATTGTCAATTTATTAAATGCCACTGAATTGTTCAGTTCTTTTTTAATTAAAAAAAATTTTTAATTTAATGTTTACTTATTTTGAGAGAGAGAGAGACAGACAGAGTATGAGCAGGGAGAGGGGCAGAGAGAGAGGAGACACAGAATCTGAAGCAGGCTCCAGGTTCCGAGCTGTCAGCACAGAGCTCTACATGGGGCTCGAATTCATGAGCCGTGAGATCATGACCTGAGCTGAAGTCAGACGCTCAACCAACTGAGCCACCCAGGTGCCCTGAATTGTTCAGTTTAAAACGGTTAATTTTACGTTATGTGAACTTCACCTCAATAGAAAAGGTAAATGATTTCCCTGCCCCCCCTCAAGTCTCTGTCCTTCCTGCATATTCTTCTTTCTCATCTCCTTCATTTCACAAATGAAGAAATTTGGTCTCTTCTATCTCTAATACAGACTTGAACTCATGCATTCCTCCCCATCTCCTCTGCCACTCTGCCAGTCCAATCCACCATCTTGTCTCTGAAATACTGCAATTGTCTCCTCACTGGCTTTCCTTTCTCTTCCTCTATTCTCATTTTTATTTTATTTTTTCTTAATGTTTATTTTTGAGAGAGAAAGAGCGTGAACACAGGAGGGGCAGAGAGAGAGGGAGACACAGGATCTTTAGCAGACTCCAGGCTCTGAGCTGTCAGCACAGAGACTAACGTGGGGCTCAAACCCATGAACTGTGAGATCATGACCTGAGCTGAAGCCAGATGCTCAGCTGACTGAGCCACCCAACTGCCCCGCTCCATTCTCATTTTTTAAATATGCCAAAAACTATTGTCGAGTCTACATGATAATTTTTGCCACACTTTACAAATGCAAACACAATCATGTCACTACACTGATCATAACCATGTAAGGCTCCCCATTATTCATATGATGAAGTTTAAAGTCTTTCATCATCTGCAAAGGCCTCCAATCTGGCCCGTATGCACCTCTCTGGCTTGTTGCCCTTTCACTCTCCCTTTCTTCACCACATTCCTTCTACTATTGCATTCTAGTCCTCTCTGCAAAGCTCCTTCCCATTTCAGGACCTTCCCACATCCTTACCCTGAAGATCTCTACCCTCACACTCCAACCCTGACTCTTCACCTGATTATATTTTCTCATCCCTTATTTAAGTTTTCACATAAGGATCAATTCCTTCCCTGAAGTAAACTATCCCCCAGTCTAAACTAGGCTCTCATCTGCCCCTTTCTTCATACCCTGCCCTTTTACTTCAGAGCACTTGTAACAACAGCTATCAGTTATTTGTGTGATTCTATTTACTTATATCTCCCACAAGGAAAAATTTTTCTATTTTTTGCTTTTGTTTTTTTGTTAAGTCTCCAATGGCTATCCCAGTGCCTGGCACATAGGGGTTTCTCAATATATTTGTTCAATTAATCACAACTGAATGATAGAACCTACTTGCAAATATGTGCCCATATATGCATTCAATCTAGCATTTCTGTAGAACTCATTCCCAGATGTGCAATACTGCCAAATTGCCTTCCAAAAAGATTATATCAGCTTACATTCCTACTCCCAAGAATATAAAACAACATCCTCATCCCAACCAACAGTGGATGCAATTAATCTCAATTTTGATAATCTGAGTAGCAAAGACAAGTATCTAATTTTTAATTAGCTCTTTCCTAATTATTAGCAGAGCTGAGCATCTTTTCAGACATTTGTTCACATGTGAATTTCCTGTCACTGCTCATTCTTTAATCAGGCTATATTTTTCTTGATAGGGAGGGGCTTTCTAAATATTATGGATAGTAACTATTATATATGCATCATTATCCCCTAAGCCTTTCATTCGTCTTTAACTTCATTACAGATGTCTTATACTTTGCAACTGTTTTTGTTTTTATAAAGTCAAATCAATCTTTTACGCTGGAGTTTAAAGGGGCCCCCACGTCACCCCCTTCTCCCTCCTTCCAGTTCTAAGGTGGACAAGGGGAGATTCGTTGTGGGTGTGGTGTAAGGAGTTAAGCGTGGAAGCAGGGAAACTGGCTGAAAGGCTACTGAAGGGGTCCAGCTGAGAGATATGATGGTGGGTATGGGTAAAGTAGAGACAAAGAGAATGAAATACCCACCAACTTCAGAGGTGGAGTCCATAGGATCAGCTGATGACAGGGGTGGTGGACCTGGTAAGGGAACCTGAGTTTCAAGGATGATTTATAAGCTCTTTGCTTCGCGTTTGGAGCAGGTTTGGTAAGGGGTAGAAAATGAAGTCCTGTTTTGAACTTGTTAGGTCTGATATGCCTCCTTTTTTCCAAATGAAAATGTCAGGTAGGCATCAAGCAGTGGGAGTCCAAAATTCAGAAAGAGATCACAGGCAGAGATACAAATTTATAAGTCACTGGTATAATGATCATATATAAAGATAGTATATAAAATCACAGGGCTGGATGAAACTTCTAGGGAGAAAATGTGTCAAGAGACAAGAAAGAGGCCCAGGACTGGGCCCCGGGGCATGCCAATGTTCAGAGGCCAGAAAGAGGAGGAAAAGGAGGCTGAAGGAATGGACACCAGGGAGGGAGAAAACTCAGGGGAAGGTGGTGTCCAGAAGCCAAGAGGAGAAAGTGTTTTAAGAAGAGGGAAAGAATCGTCAATTGCATTTAATGCTACTTCAACCCAAGGACAGAAATGTAACCACTGGATTCAGCAACAGGGAAGTCTGGGATTACCAATAAGAGCAATTGTGGGACAATTGGGAATTGGTGGTGTGGGACAGAGGGAATCCAGATTACATGAGCAGAGGTGATATTAGGTCACAGAGTCAACTCTTTCAGAGGAGTTTTGTTGTAGACGAGCAGAAAAATGTGGTAGCGGCTAGAGGGGGATATGGGGTAAAGGGAAGGATTTTTGTTGTTGTTGTTAAGATAGGAAATACTAAAGAACGAATGATCCAGTAGGGCAGAAGAAATGGATGATTTAGAAAGTCAGAGAATAACTGTAGGAGCAAAGTCCATCCTAGTGATCTCATTAGTTCTAATAGGTCAGTCAGCTGAGTCTCTTGAGTTCATAGGTACACAGTCATATCCTCTGAAAAGGCACATGAAAAAAAAATAACAGCACTTCTCAAATAAGTGATCATCA